ATAATTATTAATAGTTCAATATTATAACGTATCGTATTGTTAATAATTCATTTAATTCAACTGATCTAATTGAGTCATTTTTAAATTAACTAAAGAGTTACCTACGCGTACACAGACACACACAAACAAACACGTACACAGACACAAACACGTACACAGACACAAACAAACACGCACACAAACACATACACGCACACAAACACAAACATAAACAGGCACATATGTAATACAGCAGCCTATCAGTACAGGTATATTGAACCCCGATATTACGTTACGTTATTTTGATGGTTGCTTATAGCGAACTTTAAGTCAACGGTGAAAAAATTGATTAAATTGTTCTTTGAAGTGAGTTGAGTTAGATGTTTATTATTTTTTTTTTCATTTTTTTTCATTATTTATTACGATTATTAGTATTTAACATTTGTATTGTATGTCTTTGAAACTGATCGTCTTATAATAATTATTCAAAAAAGTAATTGTTCCACCACGCATACATACACACATACATGCATGCACACACAAACACACTCAGACACACACAGATACCCGAACATAGAAAAATAATTTTTTTGTGTTATTAATTTTCTTTGGTAATAGAAAACTCGTGTTAAGTACTTCCTCTTGATTTTTAATATCTTTGATTTGCCTCCAAGCGTTTAATAATGGATGCCTATATACTATATATAGGCATATATATATATACATATATATATATATATGTATATATATATATATGTGTGTGTGTGTGGTGTGTGTGTGTGTGTCTCCCTTAATAATAATAATAATAATAATAATAATGATAAATAAAAACACGGATGACAATAATGAACATCGCAGTTATCAAAAATAATTAAAATACGTTTAAATGTTTATTCAACTTCAAGATTAAGAGCTCATAAACAAATGGATGTCCTATATAATTATAATTATAGTTATTATTATTATTGTTGTTTGTTATTATTATTTTACAATTATTATGCGTTTACATATGTCTTTATTATGTTGTATTGCACAGTAATGTTTAAGCAAATATATTCCTTTTTTTGTGTTTTCAAGTGAGTTTGTTTGATCATGTCTGTGTGTGTCTGTTTGTATGTTTGTCTGTATGTTTATTTGTCTGTCGATCTATCAATCTATCTGTCTGTATATATGTTTGTCTAAATTTTACTGTGTCTTTTTGTTTAATTGTGTTTTCATATGATATATATTATATAAACAATCTATCTGTGTTTCGCTTTATTTGGGTGTGTGTTTGTGCATATATGTGTGTATATGTTTTGTTGTATAAGTGTGTGTTTTAGATTATGTGTATGTGTGTATATATGTGTGTGTGTTGTTGTGTGTTTGGTTGTTAGCATGAACAATTGAATGAGAAGTAGGAAATTATATCAAAAAAATTGACACGAAGAATTGCGGTAAAATAACATGGCATATGTTTGTGTGTTAGTGTGACTATGACTATTTGATCACATTTATGTGTGTATGTTGTGTGAATTCGTGTGCATATGTGAGTGTATGTGTGTGTTTGTATTTACTATACTGAATATCTTTTAAAGAGTAAATAAGTAATTATATATATGTGAAATTCAATCTTATAAAATATGCATGCTTGTGTGTGTGTGTGTGTGTGTGCGTGTGGGCGTGTGTATATATGTGTGGATGTGTGGATGTGTATATGTGTATGTACGTGTGTGTTTGTCAGGTGTGTACGTGTGTAAAAATACCTGCCTATGTAAGCGTATTTTATTGCATACACTTCAAGTTGTGTGCAATTCTAAATGTGTCAATATTCCCATATACTTGAACCACACGCATACACTGACACTCCCACAAATACAAACACACACAAACACAAACACGCACACAAAGTTACACAAAAACACACACGCACAGTTACACACGTACTGTGTTACGTTATATTCCGTACTTTGTTTCGGCCATACATATATGTGAATTCAATTAATTTATTTTTACTCTTCCTATTGATTTTTGTCTATGCTGTTTTCATTATTGTTATTATTATTATTGTTGTTGTTATTATTATTATTATTATATAATAGATTGATAACAAAATGTGATTTACACAGAGTCATTGGTTCCTTATCTTGTTTTCACCATTCGATAATAATTTAATTTTTATAGCGAGTACCGCACAAGCGGTATATATTTATTTGTATTTGGGTATATGCACGCACGCACACACACGCACACACAAACACACACACGCAAACACGCGCGCGAGCACACACATAAGATTCTAAGAGTCATTGAAATAAAGTTGTGTTGGACTCCGTATGTGATACTTTGCATGTTTTATTGCTCTTGGTATTTTTGTAGTACACAGACACACAGACACACACACACACATGCACACACAAGCGCGCACACACACACATTCACACACAAATAATCAATTATATTGAATAGGATTTTAATATTGATGAAATTTTGTTACTTTATAATAAGAAAGCAATTAACTTTTTAACTCGTAAAGCAATTAAACATTTTTTCATTCTGTCAAATTGTAATAACAGGGTTAATTATTGATAAAGCTTTTGGAAGCATACGTGTTTTTAACTAATCAGTTTCTGTATATAATATGCATAAATACATACATACACACACACACACATACATACATACATACATAAATGCATACATACATACATATATACATACATGCGTTCGTACACACATGCATGCATTCTCAACTCAACTTTGCTTACATCGGGCACTTGAAAATGATCATCCGACCAGCTTCATAAAATGCTTCAACTTTCTGCTAAGTTTAGTTAGTTAGTTTGTCTGTATGTATGTGTGTTGGTTTGTTTGTTTTTTTTTGTATTTTTGTTTGTGTGTATGTATGTATGTGTGTATGCAAGCATGTATGTATGTTTCAAGTTAACTGTATGAATGTATGCATGTTGTATAATGTTTGCACGTTATTGTAATTTTTATAAAAGCTTTCAAAATATGCTTTTAATTTTACATTTCAGATAACAACAACTAGAGTAGCAAACAACAACAACAACAACAACAATGAAACCCTAACAAACCAACAACAAATAGAGATTAAATTAACCTCTACAGTGACGACAACGATGACGTCAATGAATGTAACAACGAAACGACAACATTAATACGAACAGCAATGATAATGACGAGGAAACAACAACAACAACAACAACAGCAGCAGCAATAATAATAATTTTAATATCATTAACAACAACAATGATAACAATAGCAACATTAACAAGACGATTCAAAAAAGGACACTGATGAAATCAATGCTGAAGGGTTTTTTAAATGGATGAATGGATGAGTGAATGGATGAATGGATGAATAAATGAAATATTGAAGGAAGGAGTGAGTGAATGAATGAAGGAGTGAGGGGGTGAGTGAATGAATAAATAAATGGATGTGTAGATGGAACGGACGAACAAACTAACAAATGAATGATCGAATGATTGAAAAATTCATGACCAAACTAATGAATGGATGACTAATGCGTCTAAAAATACATAAATTTGTATTCATTTGCATTGAAACAGATCAAAGAAAAGAAACACAACAAAATATATGGACAAAGAAAATTAAATTAAAACACCAAAGAACAAGAAAAAAAACTCTCTATTTTCGCTATATGCCTGCCAGTACTGTGTCATTTACAGTTGGAGTTAAGCGCTACACAATGACAAACAAACTACCAACGGTGAACAGTAGTAATAGCAGTAGTAGTAAAAAATTACTCATCCACCATTTCTTCTATGGCATTCAAAATACATTGTGGCATACTACATTTCAGTAATTATACTTCTCCAATTAAAACTACCTCAGCCTATTAGTAACTTGTATATAATAATTTAGTAACGTTTGATTAGTAATAAAGTTACCATTACCTCTTTACTACTATTACAATAACTATGTAGTGAGACTACTACTACTATTACTACTACTACTACTACTACTACTACTACCACTACTACTACCACTACTACTACTACTATGTTACTACTACTACTACTATACTACTACTACTATACTACTACTACTACTATACTACTACTACTACCACTACTACTACTATGCTACTACTACTACTACTACTACTACTACTACTACTACTACTACTGCTACAACTACTACTACTACTGCTACAACTACTTTAAAATTGCTGCTACCGCTATTACTACCGTTTTTTTGGTGGTTGTTGTCGTCGTCAATTCAGCTCCAGGTTGTCCATGATTTGTAAATGCATGTTCTGGCAGACATGGAGGGCGAATATTTTCAACGGGATGGACGGAGAGAATTTATGAAAAATTATAAATTTTTTTCCTATTTGTTAGAAAATTGTTTAAATTATTTGTCTAATATGAATAGACACACACGCGTATCGAATAGACACGCACGCACCAAACCATACACATTCTCTCTCCCCTCTGTTTCTCTTTGTCTCTCCTCTCTCTCTCTTTCTCTCTCTCTCACACACACAGACATAACCAAACCAAACACTTACACAAACACAGACATAACCTAACACACATACACCCACACACGTCAAACCAAACACACATACATACACAGTAAAACAAACAAACACACACACACACATTTTGCTGTGTTTACATACTTACGGATCACATTAAATGTTACGAATTTTATAAAGATTTCTTATGGAAAAAAAAACATAAAAAATATACAGATATACAAAAAATATATACAAGCAAACATAAACAAGAAAACGTAAACATAAACCATAAAAAACTTAAACAAAAGAAACCTAAATTATAAAACATGGACCAAAAACTTGAAGAAAAGCAATATCAATATATTGAAATCTCTATCTACGTTTGAAAATGTTTAATCGACAAATTTAATTGTATATCGAATGTCAGGTATAAATTTTATTAGTAGAAGTAGTCATAGTTGTAGTAGTAGTAGTAGTAGTAGTAGCAGTAGTAGTAACAGTAGTTACTACAGCAGTAGTAGAGAAGTAATCGTTATTTCGTCTTCAAGTAGCTTTCTAAATCTTGGTCTTTGTTCGATGCTAGCATGCCGATCTAGATGATGATGAAAAAAATTGTTACGAAATGAGAGAGATTTAAAAACAATAACAATAAATAACAAATTTAACAAATTTAATAACAAATTATGAATTGTTGTTTTCAATTATAATTTGGAATCGTTTGTAAAAAAATAGAAAAATTATTAGTGATAAGTGCAAACAAAAAACATCAAAAACAAACAAGCGAACGGACGGACGAACGAACGAACAAACAAACGAACGAACAACTTCACTTACCGAATAAATGACAAAAACAAGAAAACACAAATTACACGAAATGAAAATCGCCATGATTGTTGCTGCGATCAAAAAATCATTCTTGAAGAACCAGTTTAAGAACGAAACGTCAACTTCATTGAGGTTTAGCAGTATGGTGTTGCAGACAATCAGATTGAAGAAGATGAATATCCATGTAAATGTATGGTATTTGTCCTGGTTGGTTGGTTGGTTGGTTGGTTGGTTGGTTGAATCAATATTTTATAAATCAATCAATCATTCAATGAATTATTCAATCAATCAGCTAACCTATTATTTAATAAACCAATCAATCAGTCAATCAATCAACCAATCAACCAATCAAGCAACTCCTCACCAAAATACTGAACCCAAGCCCTCTAGGTCTGATTGACTTGTACTTAATTTCGGCCACGAACTGCAACATAACCAGTAAATGTTCAGTAAGCAGTCTATAGTCACTGTATGAGCTGTGCATCGCGTAGGGCATCATCGAAAAACAGCATATCGTAAACTGCCGTGTAATTTGGTTTTCTTTTTAAGAAGATTAATTTGATTTTATAAATAAATACTTAACAAATAAATTGACAGCTAGTTGGTTTAATGGTTAAGGCGTTTGGCTCTGTTGTTGCAAAGAAAAGGTTCGAATGTAAAGAAATACCTGCACTGTGTGTGTGTGTATGTTGTTGTTGTTGAATTATGAATTGCAAATGAATTGTGAGTTATGAATGAATTGTGAGTTGTGAATGAATAGTGAATTTTAAATGAATTGCGAATTGTGAATGAATTGTGAGTTGTGAATGAATTGTGAGTCGTGAATGAATTGTGAGTTGTGAATGAATTGTGAGTTGTGAATGAATTGTGAATCATAATACGAACATCGTAAATGAAGTAGCTTAGATAGATAGTCGAACGTCTGAAGATGACCATGCTCAGATCTATCTGCTGCTTTCTCCAGGTTGTGATGCTGTGGTACTTCATATTTCCGATCCTACCCCAGATTGATTTCGAAATAATTTTCATGTATTTTGGAAATAATTTTAAATTATTTGAACAGTATTTTCACTAATTCACTTAGATCACTCTACTAATTCATTAAACAACTGATCTACTGGCAAATTTTTTAAGAGTATTTGTCCTAATTCAAATTCACTTGAATCACTTGTAACCATTGAGCCAGCATTTTACTAAATTACAAAAATTTACAAACATTATTCTTACTAACAAACTCAGATTATTACCTGTATTCATTTGATTCCAGAGAGCTAGTTATGGCTCTAGAGAAGTGGATCACATTATCCTTGACCTTCATGTACACTGGCAAAGATTTTTCGTAAGCCCCAAAAGAAAACACTATTACCTAATTGTGAAAAAAAAGGTGTATGCATGTGTATGTGCTGTGTATTTGCTACGTGATGAAATTTTTCGCAAAATTTTAAATTGGTTTTTTCATCGACGAGGTTGAAGAGCAAAGTTTTTATTGCGGATAACTATCGAGGAAATAAACTAAATAGCAAGAAATAAATACAAAAATAACAAAAAATAAATAGTAGAAAAAACATTTTAAAACCTGACTGTCAAATGGAAATTTACTCCAGTTAGTTTTCTGGGCGAAGTTACCGCGAAACTTTTTCCTTTCGTAAATGTATCTCTCACCAGAATTATTATCATTATCATTATTATCACTATCATTGAAACTATCATAATCATTGTTATCATTATTATTATTATTATCATCATTATTAATATCATTAATAGCCATGTATTTAACATCCCTTTTAGAGGTACCCATACTTGCTACCCAGACCCGTCCAAATGAATTTAAAATCTGAACGTGTGGATTCCAATTGGGCTCGCCACTCTGTAAACTCTTGAATATTTTATTTAGAAGAAGTATTAAAAGTATATTATTATTATTATTACCATTATTATTATTATTATTACCATTATTTTTATTATTATTATTAGTAGTAGTAGTAGTGATAGTAGCAAGAAGTAATAGTAGTAGTAGTAGCTGCAGCAGTAGTAGTAGTATTAGTATTAGTAGTAGTTGTAGTAGTAGTAGTAGTAGCCGTAGTATTAGTAGTATTAGTAGTAGTAGTATATTAGTAGTAGTAATAATAGTGGTATTGGTGGTAGTAGTAGTGGTGGTAGTAGTAATAGTAGTAGTGGTATTGGTAGTAATAGTAGTAGTATAATAGTAGTAGTAGCAGCAGCAGCAGTAGTAGTAGTGGCAGTAGTAGTAGTAGTGGCATTGTTTCATACTAACACTTTTTTCTTTCCACTTCGCCTGAATGATCACTTCGGCCTTCACGATATCATCTCTGTAATGCTTCTGTATTATGTTAACACTTTTTACGACAATCTCTACAACCACCTATTCGAAAAATTATTTGGTTCGTGTAATTTATTTTATAATAAAAAAAATCAATAAATCGACTTCTATTTTAAGCAGTAGTTTTAGTATTTATTATTGTTGGAGGTTTTTACTATTTAGTATTATATATATGTTAATCACCGTGCCAGAGTCATCAGTTTTTTCCATATCTTGCTTATTATTATAGTTTTTATATTTATTTATTTATTATTATTATTATGATTATTATTATTATTGTTGTTGTTATTAATTATTATTATATTTTTTATCTATAAAATGTTTACAAGACCAAAGTGTAACTGAGATATGATATTTGAAATTCAATTGTAAAACCGTTTTAAAACGTGAAATAAACAATAACAGAAAAATAATATAACTCTGACGTCACGTTTTGACAGCACCAAAGATTAATTATAATAATAAAAGATAAACTAGAATGAGTTATTTGATGGATGACGTATCAATGATTGATTGAGTAAACGAATTAATGATAGTATGAATCAATAGATTAATAACTGATATCATTAACTGAGTAAGTGAACGAATGATTGCAGAAAAAAAGGAATGAACTATTAATAACCATACATACAATGAACGAGTGAGTGAAGCTTGAATGACGTCAATGAGCGTTTGAACGAACGAAAGAATGAATGTCCTTATGAAAATGATCAACGCTAAAGTAGGGTGTCTGTGTGTTCTGTTCATCTGACATATCGTTCCTACCTGAACATATGACGCATACTCACGAGCAAATACCTGATAAGATGTAGAGAGAAAGAGAGAGAGATAGAGAGAGAGAGAGAGAGAGAGAAGAAAGAGGAAGAAAGAAAGAAAGAAAGAGAAATATTGATCTGAATAATTATTATTACCCTTATTAAAGATTGATATATACATAAATATGACAAATGCATAAACTAATGATACGAATGAATGATTGAAAAACTAATCTGAAGGAACGAATGAATGAACGAACGAACGGGTGAACGGATGAAAACGATATATCAGCAAACTATGTCCTCGTCAAAATGACTTCTAGTAAACGCTCGCAATTAAAAACCGTGCAACTATATCTACACACAGGTCTTCAACATATTCTTATCTTATCTCTAGATACCATAGTCCAACTGATACATTATATATCTGACTAAATTTGTCTCATAACTAAATCTGATATACTTGAAAATTATTTCTTAAATTAACAAAGAACTGTTGTTTTAGTTTTGTGAGGTTGTAACAAATTTTCAGATTTTCAAAACCGTTTAGTGTAATTTTTTTTAGAAATGTGCGTGAAGGTTGCTACATCTGTACTTTTCGTGGCCAGTAACATTGCTCTTGGGGTAGGATTGATGTCTGATGTGTCGATCATCCACGATCTTAATTTATCCTAAAAATTAATCCTACAAAACCCTAATAAATTTTCACTCTCAATCATTTAAATCATACCCGCTATTTTCAAATCATTTAATTTTTCACAGAAATTGAAATTAAAAGAAATTCACACATGCAGATAATCGGCATTGTCATCCTCATACTGGGAATCTTACTGGCAGTCAATCCAGGAATTTTTTATTACTATGTGGAAGAGACTTTTAATGGAAGCGTATTTAGTATAACTGACATGTTCAACCCGAAGGAATTGGGCACTGAAATGGCAGCTTTTATGATGACCATAGGTGGGATTCTAATTGCTTTGGCCATCCTAGGAGCGTGTTCTGTGATCTGTATCGGCTGTCTGAAAATTTTGGTGAGAGATTTTTGGTTACTGAAAATTTAAAATTCATATTTAGTTTTTATTTATTTTTCTAATTTTAATATAATTCTATTTTTTTGGTTACTGAAAATTTAAAATTCATATTTAGTTTTTATTTATTTTTCTAAAAAATTTCGTGAAATAATCTTTTTAAAGTATGCGATAGTTATGATGGTCCTCATCTTATTCACTATCAGCACCATCATCTACATGGCTTCAGTCAGTGGAAAAGAATCGGTACGCAATTATTATTTATTCATATTATAATAATTATAATTATAATAATTATAATTATAATAATAATTATTTTTTTAAAAAGATCCGCAGTTCTTTGGAAAGTGCCACGAAATATTCCTATGGAAAATACATTGAATACCCTGGTAATCTTTTTAATTTAAATTACATGTCCATGAAATCCCCAAATGACTGCTATACTGGATAATAAACTGTTATATATTATAATATATATATTATAATAAATAATTATGATTTTTATTTTTGTTGTTGCTGTTGCAGTTGTTGTTGTTAAAGAGTAACAATATATTAATTTTTTCATGTTTTTTGTTCTTTTAGAACGTTTTGTAGACAATGGCAAGCGGCTGGAAATTCCGAATGGGAAACACGCAGTGTGGTTTTACTTCCAAACTAAAGTTAACATAAATTATATTATTATCATCATCAACATCGTTTTCATCATCAACATCGTTATCTCTATCATCAACTTATCTTCGTCGTTATCGTCGTCTTCACTGTGTTGCTCTATCTGACAGCGTAGTGATCGGGTTCGAACACAAACATATCCTCGTCTAACATGCACATGTCTGATAAATTTTTTAATTCACTGTTTTTGCAGAAAAACGACATTACGCAACTTTTAAATACTCTCATATTATGACTACACTAAACTTTAATTTTTTAATTTAAATTAAATTTTAATTTAATTTATAATTAATTTAAGTTCCAAAGCTGCGGTATTACATACTTTTAACACTTTATTACAATACAATATTTAATACAATATTTAATTTAATTTATACAGTTTAATACAATATTTAAATACTTTCAGATTATGACTAAATTGAACTTTGATTTTTTTTAATCTAATTTAAATCAAATTTTAATTTATTTTTATATTTTTTATATTGATTTATTTATTTATTTTTATATTTTATATTTAATTTAAGTACCAGTGCTGCGGTATTACAGACTATAAGAGGGAAACTGACAACGTAACTAGAGAAACTCTGCCATCCTGCTGCCAGCTTAAGGACTTTTACAACGCCATGAACAATGATAACCTCATAAATATGACGAAAGATAACTACACCGATGTAGAAGCTTGTCAGAAATCTTATCCACTGAATGGCAATGTCCGAGTATGTATAAAGAACATTTTTTTTCTCGTTAAATTTGCGTCAGCCATTTATCAATAACATTATTATTTATAAATTGATAACTAAACTATGATAATATAACATATATTGTATGATAATAATTGATAACTAAATTATGGCTAAACTAATTAATTGAGATATCAATAATCAAGTTTAACTATAAGTAGTGTAAATGGTAAGATGTCTGGTAGGTAATGTTGTTGTTGTGACGGAATGACCGGGTTCTAATGCTAAAGGATCCTCGGCTATCACATTCACCGTGTTATTATTATTGATACCCCTGAAAAATGTTTAAAGTAATTGTAAACAAATGAATAAATTTATGATAAAATAATAATTTTTTAAAATTTAACCATGTTGGCAGAATTGTATAGATCCATTGTTCTACCATATACTGCAGCTATCAAACATTGGCATCATAGCTCTATCAGTGACACTCATATTCATGGTTAGCTACCTTCAAATATAATTATTTATCTATTTATTATAAAATATTTTTCATTTATTTATTAATTTTAATGAAATCTTTATTGAATTTTACTCAGTTATAATTAATTTTTTTTTTTGAAAGATTTTGTGCCTTACTACATCAACGCTTGGATGAATTGGTTGATTGATTGATTAATTGATTAGTCGATTGTTTATTTAATTGCTTGATTAATTGATTAGTTGATTAATTAATTTATTTATTTATTGATTAATTAACTGACTAAATAAGAATAACAAATTAATGGCATTATATGTATCATATTTACTATAATAATAGTGTTCAGTTTTATGATAATTTTGAATTTATCAAAATTGAGAACCAATATAGAACAGAAATATAATGAAAATTAGAACATTTATTCATTCATTCATTTTTCCGTTCATTCATTTGTTCATTCGTTCGTTCGTTCGATAGTTAATTCATTCTTTTGTTCGTTTGTTCTTACATTCGTTCCTTCCTTCGTTCTTACTTTTGTTCTCAAATAACTTTGCAATTATCTAGCAACACTAAGACGCAGAAAAAAGAAATTTTTTTTTTATATAATGATCTATTTTTGGTCTACTAAAAAGCTCAGTCAGTCAATCGATCCATATTGAAGTATCACGTCCGGTGCTGTTAATACGCGCGAGCCAGGTTCAAATGCTGCCTGTGTACGTATGATACATGCGTACGCACGACTGTTTACAAAATGTAGTGTGGTTTGTATGTTACATTCTCAGTGTGTGTACGTTGTTGTGTGGTGTGTGTAGTAAAGTCCTTGTGACACGAAAGTTTAAATACAAGTGTAGAAAGTAGACTAAAAGAAGTTCTGCGTTTGACAGAGCTGCTTAATAGAGAATATAAAAATTTGCTTAACTAAGTATAGAAAGAAATGCAAGCAGTTTAGCATCTGTCAGAGCCGTATAAACAAAACCCTCAAAAATTAGAGAATTTGTTTAAAATCAGTTGTTTAGGCAATGAATGTTAAATGTTTGGGTTTTCATATATTCAAAATTTTTGGAATCTGTGACTATCAGAGTATTAATGGTTAAATGCACGTGTGAATTTGCTTTTGTAATTGATTTTCTATGTATATGTGTGTGTGCGTGCGTGTGTGTGTTTGTACGTGTCTGTTTGTGGGTGTGTGTGGTGTGTAATAATTTGTCTAAGATATGACGTCATTGATCTATGCTCTTATTGACAGCTATCACATCGTTAAAATGAGTGTTTGTTATATCAGGATGGGACTAGTTGGGACTATGGCTATCCATAATATATCATCACGTTATCTGATGGACGTCACCAATGAGTATTTCAAGATGGGTCTCATGTTCAAGAATATAGATAGGGATAAATATGTTTATGATATGTTTATATGTTTGTGTGTTTGTGTTTGTGTGTGTGTTTGTTTGTATGTGTGGATGCAATTTGTTTATTAACTTTAAGAAGAGAACCAAAACTTTTCTCGAGTTCAAACCAGAAACAGAGCATGAATGCTGTATGTATGTGGGTATATGCGTATGTATGTATATATAATTATATATTTATATGTATGTATGTATGTTTGTATGTATGTATGTATGCGTATATGTGTGTGTGTTTTTTGTGTATGTGTGTATTTTTGTGTTCAATCCTCGTTGATAAGTTATCTCAAGATGACTTCTGTTTAAAATGCGTTGTTGTAACCAAAATTACGCAAGTATGTATGTATGTATGTATGTATGTATGTATGTATGTATGTATGTATGTATGTATGTATGTATGTATGTATGTATGTATGTATGTATGTATGTATGTATGTATGTATGTATGTATGTATGTATGTATGTATGTATGTATGTATGTATGTATGTATGTATGTATGTATGTATGTATGTATGTATGTATGTATGTATGTATGTATGTATGTATGTATGTATGTATGTATGTATGTATGTATGTATGTATGTATGTATGTATGTATGTATATATGTATGTATATATGTATGTATGTTCAAACGATAACATTTCTTAATGATCATTTAAACAGATGAGGCCACAGTTAGAGCCATCACTACATCCAAGAAATTAAAATCTTTAAAAATGTCTTCAGTCAATTTTTGTTAAAAAAATCTTTAAAAAAACATTAAAAAAACGTCACATCCTTTACGGACAGCTCCTATAATAATTTGTTATTAGTACTTTTTACTCTTCAGTAATAATAATAATAATAATAATAATAATAATAATAATAATAATAATAATAATAATAGTAATAATAAATATTTTTTGGTTAAAAATATAGGTAGAAATAATTTTCTAAAATGTGTGTCAAGATAGCTTCGTCAATATTGCTAATAGCATGCAATATCGTTCTTGGGGTAGGAGGAATTTTTTGAGTTTTAAAAATTTATCTTTCATTTATTGCTATATATTTTTATTTATTCATTTAATTTAATATTTATTATTTTATTTAATAAATATTTAAACCTCTAATGTTTTAATCTCATAACGCATCACAACCAGCGTATGTACTACGTATGATAGATAGCTGATGGTCGGAGCCAGTCAAAAACAGTTTCACTCTAACTTACAGACTTTCAACCATTACATTATTACGTTACACAAACCAAAACATATTTATGATTATTACAATTTATATTTTTCGTAGAAAATAAGTTACAAACATATTTTAAAGTATAACTTGATAAAATTTCACAAAAAAAACCAACACAGATATGCGGTGTTGTGATCTTAACACTTGGAATCTTACTGGCTGTGGTTCCGGATACATTTTACAATATAATCGAAGAAGCTCTCGGCGGATTGGAATTATCAGAAGTATTCGATTCGATATCTGTCGGATCGAATGTCAGCATCATTTTAATGAGCGTTGGTGGTGGGTTAATACTTCTGGCCATTATTGGCTCGTGTGCTGCCATCTGCTGTAGCTGTCTTAAGATCGTTGTTAGTATTTTTTGGTATTTTTTGGTTGTACTGCTGCTGTTGGTAGTGTCTTCGGTGACGATGGTGAAAAATATTTTTTAAAATGAATTTTTAAATTTTGAAGTGGATGAGTTCCATATTTTTTTTTATCACGTGAGGATTTAAATTTCGGAGATAATTTATTTTGTAATTTTATGTTAATTATATTTTTATTTTAAATTTTTTCCAAAAAGTATGCGATAGCGCTGGCACTCTTGATCATCTTCAGTGTCGGAACCTTGGTCTACATGGCTTCCGAGAATGGAAAACAATCTGTAAGCTTTATTTTTTAATATGGGTCGTCCCGATATGACCTAACAAATGCATCTAAGTGGAAGTAAAAGAGTGTAAGAATTTTCGTTAAAGGGTGTCACAGGATAGCCTATATGGGTCGGGGTTCATGATTTTTTAGGTAAAACGTTTTTAAGCAAAAGGTAACACATTGAAAAAACTAAATAGAAAAACTGAAAAAAAAAGAATATTACTAAAATTAAAGTTTTCTATGCAGTAAATACGTAAGTATATATTTATATAACATTCTTAAAAGCGAAATTGTGTCTTTTATTCGAGAAAAAAGTGTATTTGGCGTGTAACAACTGAAGATAGAAAATAATTAATTTTGACTTTTTTCAAAAATAAATTATATATTTAAAAAAAATTTCAGATGCGTTACTCGCTGGAGAAGACGACAAAGAGCAGCTACGAACATTATTTACAAAATCGGGGTATAGTACTGTTGTCCTCAACTCAAAACGACTATACACACACGCATTTAGATAGAAAATAATAATTAATAATAAAATTAATTATAATAATTAAATAGATTATTAAAGTAAAAATAACAAATATGTGGAAAAAAATTCAGAAATAATTATTGTTCATTTTAAATACTTCTTAAGAGAACATCAGCTTCGTCAATGGCGGTGAAATCATCATACCTGATAATAGATCAATCCCTTGGGTTCTCTTTCAAACAAAAGTCAGTATTCGCTTTTCGCTTTAGTTCGTTTCTTGCTAACTTTCCGATCATTTGTCATTCGCACCTTAGTTTTGTTTGCGAGTTCAAAAGTTGATCAATTTCATTATCGATATTTCTCATTATCATCTTCATCCAACTCAAAGCCAGCCATACATATATCATGTCATATATCCTTCATAATGTTATTTAACTGGTTTCCAAAGAATTTTTTTTACAAATTTATAGCATATAACTGTCCTGTAATTTTTCATTCGTACGCTGGTTGGTTTAACATCTATAAAGTTGCTAACATACCGAACCCTCAAATTTTTAGTTTTTAACTATTTGATGAGAAACGTTTGCACATCCCACTGCGTATATAATTTAATATCATATAATTTTTCATTTTTTGACAGACCGTATTTGAACCAGATGCACTCGCAATAACAAAGACACACACACACACGCACACACATAGAAGAACATGACTTTGCTACCATCTGAGCTAACCCCCAACAAACAAAAATTAAAACCCACAAATTTATCAAAAAAAAAAAACATGAAATTTTCACCTAAAAAACATCAAATCCATGAAACCAACTCGATATTTTGATCTCGAGACATAAAATTTGAATAAAACGAAATAAAACTTAATCGCATTGACGAATAAACTTTTGTCACTTATTGTAGTATCAGTGCTGTGGTATCTACGACTACGATGTATTTGACAACGGTACCGTCAATACAGGGCCATACAGAAACGTTTCAGAATACGTTAGCATCTCGTGTTGCAAGCTAAAAAATGATTATGCCAAGAATCTAGACACCTCCATACGCATTTTTAAGGATAATTACACGGAACTAGACGCCTGTATGAAATCCTATCCGAACCATGGAAATATACAGGTCGGGATTGAAGAGAAATTTTTTAAGTTTTACAGAAATTTATTTAAGTTTAACACATGAGATGGTGGTTGAATAAGTATATTTATTGATCCATTCATTCATCCATCTATCCATTCATTCATTCATTAATTCATTTATCGATCCATTCATTCATTCATTCATCCATCGATCCATTCATTCATTCATTCATCCATCGATCCATTCATTCATTCATTCAATCACGCACCCACTCACTCAATAGAATTGCATAGACCCGATGTTTTATTTAGTTCTGAAGCAATCGAACTTCGGGATGATAGCACTGTCATTCGCACTTCTATTCATGGTTAAACCCTCTTAACTTTATTATTATTATAGTTGTTGTTATTTTTCTTATTACTATTATTCAAATTTAGTTAATTTATCAATTAATTAATTAATTAATTATTATAAACATTTTTCTTTTTCAAAAAGATCCTCTGCCTAGCAGCATCGCTAATTGGATCGGGAGAGTGTTAGACGGATCAGAAACTTCTCGTGATGATCCGACGCACGGATTAACCTTATCAACAACAACAACAACAATAATAATAAATAACAATCATCAATTGTGCTAATGTTCCATCTATTTTTACGTTTTGGTTTTGGGAAAAGGATAAAAAATGGCTTTTTGAATGACAGGTTGTGTAATGGTTTTGATGTGAGATTTTTTAATTTTTATGAACTTTGTCTGATTAATTTATTAATTAATTGATTGATTAATTGATTACAAACATTTTCCGACTGATTAAACGTTTTATGACTCGCTAACGGTCTCAATAAATTTTTCCAATTATTTAAATTCAAAACAATATTACGAATATGTTGAGTGATCAGGCGTGAAGCCCTAATAAGTTTCCCCGAAACCAACAACAACAACAACAATAATAACGGTTTACTATTATTGTTATTCAATTATTATTATTATTATTCACATTTATTAGTACTATTAATTTATTTTTATTCGTGTAAAAAGATATAAGTTCGATTAATAGCCAAGTTACATGAAAAAATAACGGGACTGAAAATTTGTGAAGGCAGTTCAATTTCTATGAACACGACCAAAGATGTTTTAAATTCATTTCCGGTATTCTTGTGACGTAATCATCCTGCGATCATTCCATCAAACAATCATTTAACCAACCAACCAACCAACCAATCAATCAAACAATCAATCAATCAAACAAACAAACAATCAGTCAAACATTTGTTCATATGCTGTTTATAGAACGAACTCAAATGTCAATCAAAGTATGTACAATTTATAAAAATATAAAAATATATTTAAAAAAAAATAAATTAATATTATTAATATCATTAGTAATTGACTGAAGAAATTCTTAATTTTTCTAAATAATAATACAAATCAAACATAAGAAAACCAACAAACAAACTGACGGACAGACAAATAAATCAACTCAATGCAGATCAACACTAATCAAACCTAATAACAGTAACGTTAATAACAGCAACAACAATATTAACAACAACAACAACAACAATAATAATAACAACAACAACAATATAACGTCATTCAACTATTTGTATCTGTCCTATCGAAATCCCCGAGAACAATTTCAATCCATTGTTTTTTGTTATGCAAGATCAACTCTAGTAAACTTTCAGTCGTCGTGACGTTGTAACCTAATTTATGCAGATGTACGATCTTTTGTTCGTGGGGTTTCCGGCTTTTAGCGAGGCTTGAGCCGATCTTTATGTTGGTTTTTAGCAGAGGAATAAACCTGCCAAGGAGTGCCAATCATTTTTTTTTTGGGTTAGTTGCCATATGATTTTCGAGATATCAAAAAGTTATTAATCAACATTCAGTTCGTTTCATTGAGGAATGAATTATAAATGAATTGTAAATGAATTATTAACGAATTGTTAATGAATTGTAAATGAATTGCAAATGAATTATAAGTGAATTGTAAATGAATTATAAAAATCAAAGACGGCAATGATTTCTTCTACGTTATGCATTAATACTCGAAAGGTATCAACAACTATGATACTGACACGTCATACGAGTATCAGTGTATCACATTAGACAACAACAGCATGTCTGAAGGTAAGTAGAAATCTCTTTAAACTCAAACCCGGCTCCTGTAACACACCTACTAGATAATTAGCACACAACTAAGCAAATAAACTTAGATAGATTAAAAACCAACCAAGTTTCAAAGACAGTATTCAGGGATGATTTCGTTAGGGAGGACGACGATGACGACGGCGAAGAAACAGACGACTTAAATATCTTTGCAGTCGGTGACGACGATGAAGCGATAGGAGAAGGTGAGGAGGAAGACAACACCGATTTGATTGCAGCTAGTGGTTCTGGAAAGTTTTGAATGGCCAGATCGGCATACATATTGGCTTGTTCGAAGTCGTTGTATGAGTAGTAACAGGCAACTATGCCTATTAACAATAGGGCACTGTGTATGCATTTCAATGGGTACACCTGCATGAATGTGTGCATATAGTGTACATTAACATAATTCATTAATTTATTTAAATGCATGGAATTTAATAATCGTAAATTGTTATAAAAACTTCAACAAATCTGCAAACTAGAATTTAAAAAAATATAGAGAACAAAAATGACGTGAAAATAAAATTTCAGACCTTAGCTTGCACCTTCCAAGAAGATATCAGAAGTTCAGCTGCCCTCTCGTAAAGGCCATTTTCAATCAACCTGTACCCTTCAACAACGTCAGCTCCGTACAAAAAGTTCACGAAAATTCTACTGAAACGTAATTTCTTGTGGGAGAAAACGTTGATTAGGAAATTCTCAAATGCCTTGCTCCTTTCCTGCAGTGTAACATTGGTGAAGTTGCCAATTAGTTTCTTGGATGGGAATGAGATGCTTGAGATAAAGTTGCGATCTATGTTCATTAGATCTCGCCGTAAGGTGTTCAGCTGGGAATATCTTTTAACTATTTTTGCAGGCATTGTGTCCAAGCCAACTGTATTCATCAGTAAAATTGTGTATTCCTGTAGAATTAATTAGATCAAATATCTTTTAATTAAAATCAACAATTATTTAGTGTTGATCAGGAATAAATTAAAATTTTAATAATCTGTAAAAGTTGCCATTTACAAATAAACAAAAATAACTAAATTTTTCAACACACCCATCACCAAACTACCACCATAAACTAACTATACAATCCAAGTAATAAATAAGAATAACTCAAATGACAGACAACAGACAATACAAACCACATGCTTAGTTTTATTCTCCCCAACGATGCTAGTGTCAATGACTTCAAATTTGACATCACAGGAACCGGTGGCCGACTTGAAGTTGCCACTACCACTGATGCCTAATCTTGGACTGGCCCCGGATAGGATGACTGGTGTGGTAGGGGGTGATGGGGAGGCAGAAGATGTAGACAGTGATATGCTGTCTTTTACTGGATTAGATTGAAATGGAAAATGATAAATTAATGAATGATTTTTATATTATATACAGTACACATATTTTTTATAGAAAAAAAAATAGAAGTAGTTGTTACTTAGTAGTCATTTAAAAGTTGAATAAAATTACTAGAGTAAGTCATTTAGAGCTTTTGTTTCTTCTAACTTTGCTTTAATAAACAAATAAAAACTGTCAAATAAACTCAACATTCATCAAACAACATAAAAAACCAACAATAGTTAATCAAACAATCAACCAACCAACTAATTAATTAATAATGAATCAACTAACCATCCAGATAACAGGAAATCCCACTACCTGCACTACTATTGTCACTGGCAAAGACCAAGGTACCATTCAAATTTTTGGCCAAGTTTTCATCTTCATCTAATAATAGATTTTCCAGCTTATCACATGCCATATGCAATGGGAAGGAGAAAGCTTTAGATATGAATAAAAGTTATAAAAAAGAGAAATTTTAAAACAAAATAACAATATTTATTTTATATCATACTAATTACTAAAAATAATAAAAATAATCAATTTTATTAATTACTACTAAACAAAAAATGTGTCAAAGCGGTTTTAATTAATTTATTTATATATATATATTTATACTAGACATTCCGAAATTTGTAAAAACCCGGACGACAACTGCTAGAACAGAACTACTAACCTAAACTTGTAATTTTAACTAGCTAGGCTAGGCTCTCTAGCCTGTGCTAACAAATGTCACTTCAATTCAAATCAACAGCTGATACACAGATACACAGCTAGTGCCTGATATCGTTAAACGTTAATTATTAATTAGTCGTTTTTTTCAGAAACAACATTTAATTATTTAGGGATCACTAATTTAGTTTTTAGCTAGTTGTCCGTTACAAAAATTCGTATTTACGTGCAAATATAAATAAATATATCACATGTCATGCCGTTTACATCTGATGGACTTTAGTTTAGATAGATGTTAAGCTATTCTAAATGTATCTGTCACACGTGCATGGCAATGTGCAGTAGAATATCATATGCATGTTATGTATATCAGCATTCTGTTCGATAGTTTTGTCAATCAATCATCAATTCAATCAACCATTCAATCAATCATTAATTCCTTCAACCAATGACACTATCTTAACCTACCTGTCAGATAATGAACATTTTCGTAGTATTTTACTGAATTTGAAGCGATTACTAGAGCCATTAGTCACACTTTCAGCTATGATTTTTTACAAGCTCAGCTTATCAGCTAAAATTTTAATGTCATTTATATCAAATCTTCTAGTATTATAGAAAATTGACTGAAATGAAGAGCTAGATATAGCCTGGTTTAAGTACATTTACACACACACATACACACACACACACACACACTATAGTATAATACAAGATTGCTGAACCAACAAGAAAAAAACGCATACGAATAAACATACACAAAAAAGAATCTTTATTACTATCGCTATCAATTTATCAAAATAATAATTATAATTGTAAAAAAAATACACAAACAACATTTGGGATGCATGATAAACTTGTTCTCATTAAATTAATGTGTATATTGGATGTATGTACGTGGTTAATTAATTAATTGCGAAGAGTAATTAACCAATTAGATTAGTTGAACAATTAGGTATAACCATACATAGGTACATATACATACACACGTATATATATATATATAAATATATGTATGTATAATATATATATATAGCTATGACAATAGTGCATCAAAAATGAATGAAGCAATATTAATAAATAGCAGAAACAAATGGATGAAACGTTGAATACCCATGGAAAACCTTTCATTTCATTCCACCTCTCTATTCCCGTTAGACGTATTAAGTCATATTTCATTCTTCTCCTCCTTGCTACTATAAAACATTAGAGAAACACGCAATAATGGCGAGTATGTGCGTTATGTATGCACACGTGCATCAATGCATATTGCACGCATAATAAACACACGCATATACATACATACATACACACAGACACATGTGCCTAGTAATTTATCAAATCTACCGAATTTCTAGCATTTTAACGCTAGAAATTCGGTAGATTTCATGAATAGCAGCTTTCATTATGGTCTTTTACCGGCGTATATGAATTACTGCCTTAATTATGGTCTTTTACCGACGTATATGTGTGTGTATACGCTGTGTGTGCTAACAATAGTAGGTGAAATAAATGTATAGCAGGAGAGAGAAAAAAAAAGAAATAAAACGCCAAAAATAATAGTCATATTCTTATAAAACACTGAAAAATGAAATAGAAATGAGATTGTAGGACCTTTGAATAATTTTATAAATGGAAAAAACTTCACAATTATATATATTATATATATATATGCCCATATGTATATATATATATATACATAAACATATGATATATATCTACATATATGTATACATATATAAGGTATTTATGCAAGAAAAACAGACAATAAATGTGTATGGCTAATTGGCTTTGAGAAGTTTTGAATTAAGTGCATAAAAATGAATAAGAAGGTCAAAGAATTTATGAACTTCTTCAAACGATAATGAAAATCATAATTTCCAATAATAATTATAGTTACAAATAATAATAATAATAGTAATCATGATAGTCGTCCAATTAGCGAAATTATGTATTTCCCAAGATCGTAAGCACATTTGAGGAGATGGAGTGGGTGCGTGGGTGCAAAGTAATTCTACCATTAATCTTGGTTGAATAGGGATTAAAAAGTCTAGATTTACGAAACTTTCAAATTTGAGAGAGAGAGAGAGAGAGAGAGAGGGAGAGAGAGAGAGGGAGAGAGAGAGAGAGAGAGAGAACCTCAACTTGAAACGTTACAATTTAAAGTGGAAGAAAACAAGAGAAAAATAATACAAATGACACAATGCATATTGACAGAGCTGAAAAAAACCACCACACAAAAAAACAAGACATAGAAGTAATAATACTCTGACAAATATAAAGAACTTATGAAGTATTTTATACTTGAGGGAAGAATTTAAAAAAAAAGAAAAGAAAAACCATTTTCATTTACACCACAGGCTACTTACTATAACTAGAATGATGGAATATTAGGAGTAGAGTATGTATATATAGCATATGATATAGCTTAACCCAACGTTACATACTTATTACAGAGGATACAGGATAAAAACTTTACTTACGGCAAATAAATTTGAAAAAAAAAAAAACATGATCCTCTATCATTTTCATGGTTATGACAAACAAAGATGGCGTTGATATATCATAAGTGTGCTTGTGTAAATTTACACAGATATACATACAGCTTACACACGATCAAACATCCAATATTTTGTATGTATATGAATAGCTAGAATTAGTGAAAAACAGCGTATGGTAGTTGAAAACTCAAATAATTAACTAATATTGTCTATTTTGGTAGAATGAGCATGTGCTTTTATAAACAAATATATATATATATATATAACTTTATGTATAAATACAATCTTTGTATGTATAAATACAAATATATACATATATATTTGTAATTAAAGTTGTGATAAGGTTAATATTAGGAAAATTTTTAGAGTGCAATTTTATATATATATATATATATGTGTGTGCGTGTGTGTGTGTGTGCGTGCATTCCTAAGTATGTCCGTTTGTGTATGCGTGCATACTGCATGTATGTACGTGTGCATGAATATTTGTATAATTACGAACGCAACAAATGTTATTTATATGCATAATGTAATGAAGAAACAACTTTCAAAATTTAATGCAATGAAATTTTATATTGAGAGAGCAAATCGTAATCATGTATATATTATATATATATATATATATTATATATATATATATATATATATATATATATTACTATCAAAAAAATAACCATAATTATTCATTCTGAAAATAATAATACAACATTAAAAATAAGAATTATGATCATAATATAATAATAATAATAGCAACAACAAACAAAATAAACAAAGACATACGTACAGACAGACAGATTAAATATAGCTTACTGATAAATAAATGTATGTATGTATATATATATATATATAATTTTTGTCTTTTTTCTCTTTTTTGGTTGATTGGTTGGCGAGCGAATCAGTCGGCCAATCCATCAATTGCCTTCCCCCTCACCGCGGTCGTCGTCATCTTCCTGGCCGTCTGACGTCCAAAGCTGTTTGAGTATTAATTAACTAATTAATTAATTAATTAACTAACTAATTATATAGAGAGATAATGGAAATCTATTAGTATATTTAATTTTGATTTAAAAAAATAAATTACGCCAAAAATAATTATGAATCTAAAAATAATTATAACTTGATAACAATAAATAAAAAACAAGTGATGATGATTTAGCAATAATACTAAAAATAGAAATACTAAAAAAGAAATGCTAAAAACAGAAATACTAAAAATAGAAATACTGACAGTGAGGTTGTCCCTCAGTAGCTGCATGATGAGGGTACTGTCCTTGTACAAATCTTCATTCAGCGAGTCCAACTCTGACATGGCTGCCTCAAATGACTTTTTAAAATTATATGCCATTTAGTGTTTTTGAAAAATCATGTTCAAAAGTTGAGAGAGTTTATATATACATTTAAATCGAGCAAATTAAAAAAGAAAACTAGTTTATTACAATCACAAATAGCTCATAGACAGGCTATCTGCACAATCAATCATCCAATCATTAACTCTTCTATCAATCACACACACCTGTCATGAGTGAATGAATGAATGAGTGAACAAATGAAAGAATGAGCCCACCTTTTTAGCCAGAGTGCAAGCCTTGTCAGGTGCATTGAGAATTTCATAGAAGAAGACAGAGTAGTTAAGAGCCAAACCGAGCCTGATGGGGTGAGTTGGTTGCATCTCTGCTTGTGCAATCTTCATTGCCTCTTCATAGGCCTTCTCTGAGTCACTCACAGCACCTAGGCAGGTCCATTTAATCATTTATTTATTTGAAGTTTTTAATTTTATTATTGTGAAAATTAAAAAAAAAAATAATCATTCAAAATTCCAATATTGAATCTTAATTCATGAAACAGAAAAAAGGCAGGTACAAAAGTAATTCAAATCCTTCTAACTAGTGAAAACCATCACTAATAATGATGTACTATCTAGTAAAAAAACATAGTTACTAATTTATTTATTAAGGATGGTGAGTGTGAATGAGTGACTCATCTATCTACCATCTCACCTTGCTTTTCATCTCCTCCAATCTCAGCCAGATAGCGATAATAATCACCCTTCATCTTGTAGTAGAAGACCTTGCTCTCCCCTGTTGCTGCCTTTGCTATCAGGTGCTTGTCCAACAGGTCCTGTGGAGTCACACATAATTTTTAAATTTTATGAAAATTTTCAAAATTATGAAAGTCAAAACATCAAAATATAAAACAAATGAATTGACTAATAAAATGTATCATGCTGTAGAGTGCTTCCCAGACAGATGAAGTTAAAAATTCAAGACCTCATAAAAATGTTTCTTTCATTTTTTATAGCTTACATGTTTGAAAAACTGAATCTATATACATATTATGACACCAAATAGTACAAGCATGTCAAAAAAGTTGTACTACAGGTAATAATTTCATTCAGACAATCTCAATTAATTCAAAACAATGCTATTCAATAGTATGTAGACACATACACACACAAATGCATATTTAAACACACACTACATACTTGCACACACATACACACATCAAACTAAGCAGCTAAGTTATTATTAAATTGTTTGAAAATTAACTCATAACAACATCACAGACATTAATACATTCACTAAGGAATGTTCTATTGTCTGGGCTAGCCTGGCTTACTACTGACTGCTCTTAATGTACATAACAAGCCTTCCTACAGTGAATATAATACATGTTACATGTACTGTGTATGTATACCTCAGACCATTTTTCATTATAAAAAAAAACAAAGTTAATTATTCTATTGTAGCATAAATTTAAAGATTTTTTTTTTACAAAAACAAACCCATGTAAAACCCAACACAAGAAAAACAGCTCCAAGCCATAAAGTAAATGTTTCTTATCCTCACTACAATTGAAGTGAATGAATCATTACAAATGTCTATCTACACACACTACTTTAAGTGAGAAAGCATAGGCAGTTTTTAAACATCCAAGTCAGTAGAATCTCTATATAGAATAAAAAATTGTGTATACACCATTCACAGTCAAAAATTGTTCAGATCCACCCTCATTCCTCAAGTAAAAAATTGAAAAAAAACACAGCTGAATAAAATGTTAATTAAAAATGAGAAAATTGATGGACGACTAACAATGACATCTTTACTAATGTTCTTCAGTTCCTTTTCAATGGTAGCTTTGTACTCCTTCACCATGGTGTGCTTCTTCTCGTTGCCCTCTGTCTTCAACTCGATGCTGGAGATGACCCGCCATGCTGATCTTCTGGCCCCAATGACATTTTTGTAGGCCACGGACATTAAATTTCTTTCTTCGTTGCTCAATTCTTTATCCATTTCGGTTACCTCTTTCATGCACGCTGTCATATCGTCGTAACGTTCAGCCTGCTCGGCCAGTTTGGCTTTTTGAACTAATTCTTCTCTTTTGTCGGCCATCTCAACGGACAAAATTTTTATTTAAATTTAAAAAAGTAGTGGAAATAACAGCAAAAACAACAAAACTCGTCAACCAAAGAAACCAGCCAAAAAGCTTGTTATGCAGATTAAGAGTTTCCGGTGAACAAAAACACTGTATAAGAAATGATTACTTCTATATTGTTTTACCTGAATTTGATTATACTACAGCCAGTGCCTCTGAATAATATGAACGTGTATTCTTTATAAATAATTGTTAAATTTCAAATAACTACAACAAAATATTGTATCCCCTTTTATGTTATTGGTAAGCTATGGCCTGCAAAATGCATTGCTCACATACCGACCAATGAAAAAGATGTAATAAAATTAGCATACAATTTTCCATGAATTTTTACGAAGATATGTTTCTATTCTATATACACGACTGTATCTATCTATACCGATGTATATTTATGTATGTATACATGTATTGTAAAATGTATCTATCTATACCACTGTATAAGATCTCTAATCTATACATATATATGTATGATTGATCACTGATATGTATGTGGACATGAGGTCACGTCTTCGAAATTGTATGGATTCAATAATTATTTTATAAAAGTTATGACGCACATTACAACACTACAAGGCATATTTGCATGTGCTAGTGAGTAAATAGATGCGCGTAGAATAATTGTGGAATGAAGAAATCTATGCTAACTATATGCAGTATTTACTTATATAATAGTTTCTGTGTTTGTCGGATTCCGATTTTTTTAATAATAAAAAATATACATACACGCATACGCACACACACGTGTGAGTGTGTGTTTGTATTTGTGAGTGTTTTAAGTCAGTGTTAATAGCACCATTCAAAGATATGTATATCTTTATTGGACTTGATCCATCTTTTACTGTTTTCCAATTTACTTGTTTTAAAATGCCAAGACTGCTGATTGAATTACTTTATTGAATTAAAAATAATCTGATGTCACCTTGCTGCGGCCATTTACTTGAACTCAAGCATCTTGAAACTTTTAAGCTTTTATATTGAAACATATCAAGGACAATTGTTCTGGCTATGTATATGCAAATGTGTGATATGTGTGTGTGATATTGACTAGAGGCTAGCAAAATAAAATATAACTGCTTGTAAATGTCAAAAAACTTTTTCAAACACTTCATCAAAAACTGTAAGAACAGGGAAACACTACTCGTACAGTTGAAAATTGGTTTGTAGTTTGAAAAATTCTCTTCACGAACATGAAATTCATTCTTTTTTTCGATAGCTGCTTATGCTCAGTTTCAATTTTTGTATTTGGCCATTGAAATTGCTGAACAGGCACGTTTCTTTAAATAATTTTTTTCCAGCCTTACAGACAGTCAGTATTTTTTTCCAGATAAATTTATCATATATTCTCTTTCTTCATCTGACGAAAGGAAAGTTTTGTGGTCTCTAAATTACGCCGCAACGTCCCCCTACTACTAAAGTGACATGAGGTGTTGTTAAATGAAGTTTTATCGTTTATCAAGTCGTCTTCAAATTTCAAAGATTCAATCTTCACCTAAATTGTTGCCAAGTTTCCTGGCCTAAATTCTTACCGTTATTATTAGTTCTAGCGAAAAAATCGCTGCTATACGTGTACACCACACGATTCGTCTCGTGGCGATTTCTTGAAAAACTTTTCGTATTTCTATTGTCAGCATCGGTGGTCGTGGAAGAATTGAATTCCACCGCCCCATGCTGAGCAAACGACGAACGTTGCCTCGATTCCGACGACAAATATCCTCCCACACTGCTGCTCGTTTCCTTGCATGTTTTCTTCTTGAATAAACGATAAAAGATCAGACGTAGATGGCCGCAACAAAGCAATCCGTCTCAGCTCGTGTTCACTTTCTCCGCGATGTGGTTCGCCGTTGTGTCGATGGAGTTGAACCTGGCAACGGTGGGAGCCAGCCAGGCGGACTCCTTTATATCCTGAATTGTGTATCTCTTTTCAATGGACGCCTGCAACATCCCGTGAATTAGTTTTTGCAGGTCTTCCGATATTCGTTTGCTCTTGCTGAAGCCCACCTTACGCTCCAGTTGAGTGGCTATCATCTTCTTCACGTTGGAATCGTCGAAGGGCATCGAGCCGCAAGCCTGTGTACGCAAATTAGAAAACATTAATCATTTCAAATGGCGTTGTTCACTTTGAAAATATAATTTTAAAAATGTAATTTGCTTTTTTTAATAGTTGAAGGACAAGTTTCCTAGACGTAATCAGTAACCGATTTCTCACTTTATAAAACTTAATTTAGTATATAAATTGAATTCACTGTTCAGCAACTTACAATGATATACAAGATAACTCCCAGACTCCAAATGTCTCCAGAAGTCCCTTTGTACGGAATTCCTTGCAAAATTTCAGGAGCGGTGTAGGCGGCACTGCCGCAGTAAGTCTTGCTCAGCTGGTCCACCATTTGTCGCCTCGAGAAACCAAAGTCAGATACTTTCACGTTGTTCTCGTTGTCTAGAAGGATGTTTTCGCACTTCAGATCTCTGCAATTTCAATAAAACTAATTTATATACATTTATTTTTCAATTTGATAGAAATAAAAAAAATATTATGACTGAAGAAAAAACTAAAAACTCGACTTGATTAACAATAATAATATGCTTTTATAATTTATACAACTGATAAAATGTTAGAAATAATTTAAGAAGACCTGTGCACAATGTTCCTGGCATGCATGTATTCAATGGCACTGAGGAGTTGGTAGAACATTATCTTCGCCTTCTCTTCAGGCAGAGCTCCTCTCAGCTTGATGTAATTCAGCAGGTCACCTCTGCCTGCAAGCTCCATCACTAAAATTATCTGACAATTTTTATTTTTACGCATTATAATGGGCTATAAATTTGAACGAAATCGTAGAAATAATGACCACCACCGACAGCCGCATGAACTGACCTTGTCGTAAATATCAATGACTTCGTGTAATTTCACGATATTCGGATGGTTCAGCGATTTCAAAGTATCAATTTCTCTCGGCAGAAATTTTGAATAATAATCTTTCGACGGGTGCTTTTTGTTGATAATTTTCAAGGCAACTTTTCCGTAGGTGTTGGACGTGGCCGACATGACCTTCCCATAGCTGCCCTCTCCGAGGACTGAATTCAACTCGTAGCCAAGTTTTTTCAATTCGTCCTCGAGGGAGACTTGGGTTTTTTTTGATGTAGCCATGAGCCATGCGTGAAAAAGTTTCGCGAATTTAACTGCAAAAGGTTTGACTAATTTTTTAGTTTTCAAAGTAAACAACTCAAAGCGGCTCTGCGACGTCGTCTGCTGCTGCGGCTTCTGTTGGTTGTTGTCGTTCTGAGAGGAAGGTCGGAGACGTGGACAGCGACGGAGAGGGAGGTAGGCGTGGAAATGGATCGGTAGAGTAAGAGCCGTTCTTGTAAACTTGAGTCAACGGACTCTAAGCCACACACGACATGCAAACAAATGAGTCGCGAATCTATCTAGCCGTTCTCAATTGGCAGCTTACAACCATTCATTTTGAAACATTTTGAAGCGATGCAACCACCGTCTACGTTGTATCAGAGTGATACTATGTATTAGTACAATACGTTTTAAACGAACAGCCTCCAAATAATAAATGGATAAACAGCTATGTAACGTTACAGTTAAGAACAGATCGTGAAAAAATTGAAAGCGTTGTTACTATTTGTCAGTTTTACTATTTTTATTTAGTATTTTTGATCAGTATTTTGATGTATTTAGTTTTCAAATGAGTGTTTTTACATTTGTTTACATAGTTGCGTCATTCATTTATTACGATAGATAACACAAATACTTTGCTCTGCTTGAGCATTTGCAACCTACTAGGTGATACAGAAAGAAAAATTCAATTCAAAGCAATCATAAGTAAGAAAAAAATAATCACTGTTCAAGAAGACAGAATAAATTTATATTAGATATATATTTCGTACTAATGTAACTATTTCTTCTTAAACTTTTTTGACTTTTTAAAATTGACGTCATTCTTTCTTTTGAAACGTTTCCTGATCTCATCGCCGTAGCTGTCACTCAGTTTCCGCTTGTGCTCCCTGCCATTTTGTGTTGAAAATTAATTTCCAGAATCGAGTAAGCCTAGCTAAGCTAAGCTAAGATTGCAGATAGTTTTGTGGCAATAAAGAAACAAATAAATAAACAATTAAATATATAATAATGTGAAGAAATGAAGTATAAAATATTAGTAAACATAAAAAATGAAATAGTAAAGGTGTCGCTAACGTGATGGCGCGCTGTTTTTCAGACTCGGCTGCTTCCAGCTTGAAAATTTTTAAATTGTGAAAAAAAAAATACAAGAAAGGTTGAAATAATCAAAATTTCTTTAATTAGAAAACAAAATACATACAAACATATGCACGTAATAGATCACACAAACACGTCTACATACATATGAAAAGATTTACATACATACCAACGCATAAAAACCGATACAAACCAAATATATAAACTATCCAACATACAAAAAAGATACAAACAGATACACAGTCATACAAAATTATAAAATCACACACAAACACATACATACAGGACTAAAACAAAACTCATTAATTACCAAATCATCGTCAAGAGATATGTTTACAGGAATCATTTCTTTCAAGTTGGATAGTTGTGAAGCTTCAACATCTCTTAAGATCTGGTGCAATTTCTGAGAAAAACAGACATTACCTTATTACTTCTGCTGTTACTAATCCTACTGCTGATAACTATTACTACAAACCACTACTGCTACTACCACTACTGCTGCTACTACTGCTTCTACTACTATTAATACTTTTATTACTATTACTTACTACAAAACTAAAAAACAACTGAAATTGAAATTAAATAGAACAAATTTGAATTAATTGACGGAAGGAAGAAACCTCCACTATACACTTGACAGTTTGGTTGAGGATTGCAAGCACCTGATTGGCTGGGTACTTTCTATCATTTGGATCTAACTCCTCAGCTAATTGGTCAACGGATTTGCCTTGTAGTCCGACCCCTAACAGAACAGCCTATTAGAATTTAGCAGTTTTTAGATAAGTAATATTATGTAAAACATTGAATTTACGTCACAATCCACTTCATTCTACTCACTACCATCGCCACCACCATCTTCACCCATCATCGTTACTGTCATCAGCACCACCATCTTCACGCGCTTCATCATCCTCATTATCTCACCGATTTGATAGTGGCCAGTTCGAGTTTGATCTTCCCTTGAAAGACGAGAGTGGACAACCTCTGGAGGAGGTCTTTCACCTGTCTGTAGTCGGCCATGTTTTTCGAGTACCTGTCCAGTCTTGTGACGTCATACTGACTGAATAGCAAAAGTATTTCCTCTCTACTCACCTCTGGATGTAGGAGCAAGATTTAAATTCACTTTTAAACATTTTTAATGCTGGCACGTTACAACGCTTATCTTGGCATCAAATGAAACCACAGTTTTCCCTAATTAAAATCGGTTAAACGTTAAAAAATGTTTCAAAACGTTAAAGCTAAAAATTGCTTAATCTAAAAATAGCAACCGACCTTGAACTTTTGAGATGACGTTTTTGTTGTTAAGTGTGGCTAATGATAGTGAAACTTTCCAAGATTGAAAGTCAGATGATGATAGAGAGATGAAACGACGGGTGAAATCTTCAAGAGATAAAAGAGAGCAGTCATAATTTTGTACATAAATGAAGCCATAATTTTTATAATAGTAAACTATAATTATGAATATACAATAAATTTAATTTTCTTAATATAGTATCTCACTACATACCGGCAAATAATTCCGACAGCCAATCAGGTTTCTTCTTTTTTTCATTTTTCTTCTTCCCGCCTTCTTTTATTCCTTCGTCATCATCACCATGAGCGTCACCATCTTCTCTGTCATCATCATCATCATCCTCATCATCAGCAGCATCATCATCATGGACATTGATCCTCTTCAACATTATGCAATTGTGCTCTCCAGTTAAGACGTTCTAATCAGGTGGAATTGTAATAGCAATAACGATAATAACTAATAATAAAAATAATAATAATATTAATAATAATAAACAACCAAGATGATAATAACAATAAAAACAACAACAATAATAATAATAACAATAAAAAGTTTCTTTCTAAAAGGTCAAAATCTCACCCGTTGCTGGCCTACATGAACGGGGACCATGCCAAACTTCTTCCAGAACATTAGGAGGGGGTAGGTAATCCCGTAGCTTACCCCCAGATAGTCCAGGGTTTCGGGTCTCTTCTGATTCAAGGCCATTAATAAGGGCGGGAGTTTTTCCTTCGGCTCGATGCGCTCTTCTAAAAGCTGTTGGCCACTATTGGCTGGCTGTAATCACGTGATAATGTGACGTAATATAAACGATATATATATATATATATATATAAGTATGTATGTATGTATGTATAAGAAGGCTATATAAGTAGAGTGAGTGAGAATGAGTAGTAACCACCCTTTACTAACATTAAAATCGTCATCATTGGTAGTAGCAGCAGCAGCAGCAGTAGGATAATGATTAATGACATCATCATCATCATGATCACCATGGTCCTTCATGGCGTCATCACCGTTTGCGTCATCAATCAGAGATACGTCCAACAACTTGCCCTCGTAGTAATCTTGCAGTAACTGTAACGCCTTCATACCGTAGCCCATCTGACGGAGATGATGATGATGATAATAATAATAGAAATAATAATGTTATAATTATAAATACAATGCAATTAAAGCAGGACGAAAACTCACCCTTTGATGTTCAGGGTTTGTGGCGATGCGTACGATTCGAGCTCCAGACTTTCTAGCGAATTCTCTTTCACCAAACTAATTACAATTAATAATTATAATAATTAATTATAACCAATCATAATAAAAATAGTTTAAAACGATCATAATGATTAATAACGATCGTGATAATTATTAGTAAATATGATAACAAGATAATCAATAATCGTCATCACTATTACTACATTTCTTATCATCATCATCGTCATCATCATCATCATGACCAACTTCCTGTTCGACAATCCAGGGAATCATGTCCCCGTCACCTCTGTGACCTCGTCTCAGGCCATTCAAGATGGTTTCTTTTGAAATTTCACCCTCATAGGCAACCTAGTAAATAATATTAAACGTCTTTAAGATGATTTTTTTCATAATACTCGTACGCGGGCGTCTCTTTGCGTTTGAATCCGGTTATAGCGAAACAAAATTCAAGCATTATACCGCTAGACTATTATACCGAGTTTGTCAATGTTTTCAGGTTCTTTTGTAATGTAATTTATAACGTTTTTTGCAATGGCAATCTTCAAAATGTCCTCAAAAACCCATCAAAATCATCCCATCAACACATGAAATTTATTTCACCCACACATCAGAACCATCCCATCATCGTCCCAATCTTCATCGTGCTACCTGAACGGCACAAAGGATGTCAGGGTTGGGGCTTTTCCGCGCATTCGATCCCATGAGGACGAATATGTGGTGGGCAGGTGCGTCCGAGAGCAGCTGAATGTCGTCTGGACTGTTCTGTAGAGTCGTGATGGTTGGTGGTGATTCGAGTCGTTTTTAATGGTGGTTTCAAATGTGTACAAACTGACGCGCGCGCGCACACACACACACACATGCATAACTAAATGTAAAGAGACGGACACACACGCAAATACAAATATAAATAGACAGACAGACAGTCAGACAGACGGATAGACAGACGGATAGACAGACAGTCAGACCGACGGATAGACAGAGAGACAGACACACAAATACAGGAACTGACACATACCTTATAGTGGGATGATACAAAGATAGAAACGATCTTCTGAAGGAACATCTCCGTCTTTTCATGGAAAGAAAAAAGTGTATCCCTGTTAACTTCAAACAACTCACAGGTACCAACGAATGGAAAACTGGACTTTTCTGAAAAGGGGCGTCCAACATGAAACATAAATAAACACTTAAACACACTCAATAATCAAGAAAAATAATTAATATACGCTCATCACTAATTTTCATTTCGAAAAAAAAACGTTCTCCTAACCTTTTTCAGAGGATCTGCCCCCGGTCTGATTAGTGATGTTCAGGCAGAGGAGTGAAGTTAGCCAGGCTTCTATCGGGTCCTTGTCGGAGTATCGAATTGGAATTTTCAGCTCCATCTCGTGCAGTTTCTTCTCATCTGGGGTACATATAACAGAATAAAAAATTTACTGATGAAAGAAATGAATGAATGTACCAGCACGTACAGTAGCGACAGCAACTACCTGTCGTTAAGGGGTTTTTATCCTGAACTTTTTCCTTTAGAGTTGATGATATCTTGTTGACATCGACTCCGACCTCTGTAAACTTTGACCCCCGACGAAGGTTCTCGACTAATTTCAAGGACAGCGATCTGCCTGTACCCTCGTAACTGAGAATAGTAACGATAATAACAAAACTCCCAAAACCGTAATAACAAACAAGCAACAAACAAGCAACAAACAAACGAGCAAACAAAGAACAAACAAACAAACAAACAAACAAACGAGCAAACAAACAACAAACAAACAACACCACGATATCACCCGGCCCTCAGCAACAACTAACCCATTAACAGTAGAAGACATGAAGACGAGGTAGGGCCCTAGAAGTTTCGTGACGTGTAACAGTGGTATGGCGGCTGCCTCATCGATGCACAGCAGTTCCGCCTGTGATAACATTTGGTGATCTTCCGGCGATATGTACTGCAATGGATGGATAGAAGGATGGATAGAAGAATAGATAGAAGATTGAATGAATTAATGGATAGAAGGATAAATGAATGAATGGATAGATAAATGAATGAATGGATTGATTGATTAATTGGTCGATAATAGGTAAATTAATTGATGAATAGATGGATGAACGAATGAACAGATGAATGAATGAAAAGATTGATAGATGGATGAATGAATGAATGAACCGATTACCTGAATAGTCTGCCTGTGATTTTTGTAGATGTTGATTCTAACTACTGCATTATTAAACTCGAGGTTGGATGAGAACTTCAGCTGATAATCTTGGTGCTCCTATAATTAAAACATTATAACTAATTATAATATAAACAAAATATTAATTATCATAATTAATATTACAATAATAATAAATACTAAAACACTTTTTTTTTACGAAAAACCCAGCAAACCGAATATTTAAGAGCAGTCAGGCCCTTGCATATGTACTCAAACATTGTCTTCAAGTTCTCGGGACTTGGTGCGGTTACAAATATGTTGGAGTAGCTAGTGGGGAATCGTAGAAATTATTTATAATAATAATAATTAAGAACTATAAAAGACAATAAATAAATATATAGAAAAATGAATGAATGAGGGATAACAATGAAGATATTAAAATATCAAAAAATTAGGCATCAAAAACGCATTTAAAATATTATTCATAATAATAATAATAATAACAATAATTAAATAATGAAATAATTTAAAAAAAAAAACAAAATATTTATGAATAGGAACCGAACCCAAAAGCAACCGCAGCTGCCATGCTGAGCCCCAGAGCAGCTGACTTTCCCCTGCCCCTAGCTGCTGTCATGACGACGGTGAAGTGGAAACTTCTGTCCACTATTGCATCAATTAATTTCAAAACTGCTTTGCCCTTTCGGGGTGGGTGGGGATGAATGACAGAGTGAATGAATTGTTGGATGAATGACTGAGTGAATGATTGGATGGGTAGAATGAATTGAATAAATTCATTAATTGACTAATTGAACTAAATAAGGGGTAAAAAAAAAATTCCACGAGCTACAAAAATGAACCATCAATATTTTCATAAAACATGAATGAACACTATCATCACAACTACTACCAGCAGCATCATCATCCCCGCAATCATCATCACCGCCCTCATCATCATCATCGTCGTCATCACCGCTAACCTGGTCAGTGGTGGCACAGCAGCCAACAAGATGGCCAACTAAGGATGTCTCAGCATCCTGCATCAGTTTTGACGTCAAAGATTTCAATTCCTCTTGATCGAGGCTCAATTTTGTATCCTAACAACAAGAGTGACATCATTCAATGATGATTATCATCATCATCCCAACTATCATTCTCCAATGATATCCAGGTAAATATCGTGATGAGATATAAAATGATACTAATTAGGGATATTACTAACTTCAGATATGGGCGGTAGTGCTTTGATGTTGAGTGATGATGACGAGATGGGCAGAATGTTTAGCTGGTCATCGATGACCAAACAACCTGGGCATTTGCCAAGAGATAGTATGAACCTGTTTTGATGTCGTTTGTGGTTGTTGTAAGTGTGGTTATTGTTGTTAGTGTGGTTGTTGTCGGCGTCGTTGTTAATTTATAATGTGAGTTTTTTGTTGATATAAAAATGTTTTTAAACAAAATTACACACACAATAACAAGACAAATAAAAAGCAGCAACAACGTCACAACACAACAACATACAACACAAAGACATGACAACAACACAACAACATACAACACAAAGACATAGCAACAACATGAAATAACTTCAGTAACTTACAACAAAGAAAACAAAGCCCAACCTCTCATTGAATCTTCCAATGATATCTTGGTGGGACTCAGTCCTATATCTTAAATGGACATCCTTATATCGCAAGGATAACAATAAAAAAGCATAATAATAATAATAACAATAAAAACAAAAAAATTTCCTTCAAAACTACTTTCTCCAACAATCGACAAAACAAAGAAAGATATTTAAAAAAACTACCATGGTCATAGTGTAAAGCTGTTTTAGGGATTTTACAGTTCGTAGAAGAATGATGACAAGGCCACCCCCAGACACCGTCTCAATGGTACGAGCCAGGATGTTTGGAGTGATTCCTTCAAAATCCTGGAAAACAATTGATATTATTAATAACTAAATTAATGTTTGATTTGGTAAGAGTTAATTGGAAATAACAAAAATGAAAAAAATTCTAAATACCTGAATGACACACATTCCAAATGTTCTGCCTAATATTTTGTGGGTTTCTTCGTAGTAGCAGTAGCGAATTTTTGTGGTAGAGATGAATATCTCAAATGGATCTTCATCGTTTAAGTCTTTTGTCTTCGACTTTAACTTTTTTGATTTCAGTTGCATTCGTTTTTTCCGATTGCTATTTAATGAAAGCAGAAATAATTTATTAATTTTAATTATATTTTGAAGCAATATGATAGTTTATCAATTTTAACTATATATATTTTATCAATTTAAATTATATAGAATATAGATCGATGAAAATATAATAATTTAACAATTTTAATTATATATTAAAGAAATATAACAAACTAAATTTTTTATCGTCATATTGAGAACTTATTAGCAACAAATTAACAAAAAAATATACGATTGAAAATAAGTGAAAAAACTTAAAATATGGCCTTAAGTTAGATGCTATCAATAATTAATCATAATCAGTGATTGTCGATTTAAAATCACTAAAATTAAAATCTAAACATTTTTAATACATCATAAAAATCTAATTAGTGAATACATAAAGGGAACACACCTGCTGAAACCCAAATCTTTCTTGTAGGCCCAGAGAACTTCCGGCATGGACTGCACAGTGGCCTTTACCATTATGTGATATAAGATGGGGATCTGTTGGGTTGGTGGTACATTAGTATAGTAAATAGTTATAGTAGTATTAGTAGATTAGGATTTCTGAATTACCAGTTAGATTATTGATCACAGATTAGCCACAACTAATAATTATTCATTTATATTTATTTAATAATAATTACTTAAAAATTAACATTAATATTCTTCTAACAATAATAAATAATGAATCTAGAAAATAAATTTATTTCATCAAATATAGAAGTAATAAAATAATTATAATAAGCAAGACAAAATGAGATTCGTATGATGAATATGTATGACCATGTTTGCAAAAAAAAAATCAGGCCAATGGGAAAAAAATAGAAAAATTAAAAAAAACCCAGTTAACCTGATCTCGTCCTTTATCTCCAACGACGACAAACATTGAACGATGATTGGATATAATTCCATTCTCAATTAGTGTTTTAAACCGAATGTCGATTTTTTTTCGAGAGGACATCTTAGCAAATTAGTGGACAACTCGAAGCGATTAGTTTAGTAATGGGCGATATCAAAAATAGTAAACAAGGAACAACATGTGTTTGTTCACTTTTAAGCATAGAAGCCAAACTAAAGATTTGTGGTTTGATATCTTTGTGTTTACTTTGTAAATAGCGCCGCGTGCATTTTTATTGCTCAGTTTTTTAAATTTAATCTAGTTGATTTTGTACTATAATAAAACTTTAAAATGGAGGTCATTGCTGGGACATATTCGCATCTAATTTTCGGTTACGAAGTTAAACCGAACGAGGAAGGAAAGTTAAAATTCTCGACGAGTTTCACTAACGATTCACATGCTGGAGTGGTCAAATGCCTAACTGTGAATCGCAGAGGTTTCCTGGCCTCCGGAAGTGCCGATGAATCTATTCGTCTGTTCAGTTTGAAGGGCAGAAGGTGTGAGATTGGTTCTTTATGCCAACATAATGGTTAGTCTGTCAGGAAGGCAGCAATTTTTTTTTTTTTGAAAATTTAGTTTTTAGTACTTGTTGTAATTAAAAAAATTGTGATATTATTTCATATTATAATATAAAATATATTATATTATAGTTTAAAATAAATAAATTATTTTCATTCATCATATGCAGGTTCAATAGTGAGTTTGAAGTTTTTCAAAAATTCTTACCTTTTTTCTGCCAGTGAAGATGGCACCATTGCAATCTGGAAGGTCAACAGTTGGGACTGTCTGAAAGTTTTGAAACACAAGTCCGTTCCATTATAATTAAAAATTATCATTTTTTTCCAAAATTCTAGTTAATTTAATTAAAAAAATTCATTTCAATAGTTTTATTACATTATAAAAAAAAAAATTAAAATATTTTAATATTTTTCTATTTATGTCCATCTTAGAGAGGCACTGACTGACTTTGCTATCCACCCATCTGGAAAATTGCTATTATCACTCACCAAAGGTCGAACCCTCCAAACATGGAATCTACTGAGTGGCAGACGAGCATTTGTCACTAATCTGAAGCAAGGTTACCGAAGATCTTTTAATTATAATCAAGTTTTATTTTAAATATAATTTATGGTAATTTTAAATGTCATTCATGACGAATTGTAATGGATGGTTATTCAAAGTTTTCTCTTATATGTTAAATAAATTTTTTTCATTTGTTTTTTTTAGGATTTAATTATTTATTATTTTTATTTTTTCAGTTGGTGAGATGATTTGGTTTTCAAATGATGGCAACAGATTCGTAATCGTTATGGGAAACAACATAGATATCTATACAACTGCGGTAAGCTTTTATAATCTTTGTTACTATTTATATATATGTGTATGGGTATTGTGTATAGGATGTCAGAAATGGGTGCATAAGAGATGTAGTGGTGTGAGGGGGGCACTGAAAAAGGTGGAAAGCACGTTCAAATGTAAGAAATGTGTTCATGGTGTGATTAATAGGACGGACGCAAGGACGGGGTTGAGTGGTGGTATTGAAAGAGTGGAAAGCTTTGTTTACTTAGGGGATAAGCTGAATGCGGATGGAGGATGTTTGAGCGCAGTTATGGCTAGAGTTTGTGTGGGATGGATGAAATTTAGGGAACTGGGTGGGGTATTGTGTGGAAAGAAATGGTCAGTGAAGATGAAAGGGAGGGTATATAAAGCATGTGTGAGAGCAGCGATGGTATATGGTGGTGAAACTTGGGTGTTGAGGAGAGAGGAGGAAAGTGTACTGCAGAGGGCTGAAAGAGCTATGGTGAGGATGATGTGTGGGGTTAAAGTGAAGGATAGGAGGAGTAGTACAGAACTGATGTCAATGATGGGACTGAATGAGGACATTGTGACATTGATAAGGAGATCGAGATTGCGGGGGTATGGACATGTGTTGAGAAGGGATGAACGGGTCGGGATTAAGCGAGCGTTGGAGTTCGAGGTTGAAGGAGTGGTAGGAAGGGGTCGTCCGCGATTGGGATGGAGAGAGCAGGTGGAGAAGGACAGGGTGAAAGCGGGGTTGCGTGATACTGAGGCAAGTGACAGATGTGGATGGCGTCGAGGGGTATTTCGGTTTCATCATAGGTAGCCAAACGGCAACCCCCGATCTCGGGGAAAATGCCGTCTAAACGTGTGTTGTTGTTGTTGTTACTATTTATATATTTATTTTGTTTTTGTTTATTTATTCTATTTATTAGTATATTTTTAAATTGTTATCTCAGGATGCATTGATAGCACATTCATACAACCATACATCGAGAATTAGCTCCACAGTCTTTCTAAATGTAAGTTTGTGTACGTGTGTGTGTGTGTGTGTGTGTGTGTGTGTGTGTGTTTGTCTGTTTATGTAAAAATGTATGTATATATATATACAAATATATGTTTATTTTGATTTTATGACAATTAACTAATTATTCTATTGATTAATTAATTAATTAATTACAAAGAATGAAATCTTATTGGTTGGAGATGAAGGAGGCGTGGTCAACTTCCTTGATGTGACAGCGTGTAAATTAACTCACCAGTTAAAAACTAATACTGTCAGGTAGGTGTTATGGAATTATTATTATTATTGTTATTATTAATTATTGTTATTAATTCATAAATATCATCATTTTCATCATCGTCGTCATTGTTGTCATCATCACAACAGAGTAAAGGCAATGCAGTGTATTCAGCAGTCGTCGTCATCTTCACTGTCATCATCTACACTGTTTATATCATCTAGTGACGGTTATGTAAAGCTGTATGACGTCACTATAGAGGTATTAGTTTAGTTGTGATATTATTTTAGTATGGGTTATGTTTGTTTGTGTTTGTGTGCTTGTATGCGTGTGTATGGGTCTTTAACTGTCTTATCGTCTAACTGTCATGTGTGTGTGCGTGCGTGTGTGTGTGTATATAATTTTTTAACATTTAATTTTAATCCTCATTTCAAGTTTAATTTTTTCCACCATTTTGATGCTTCATCTCATCAGAACAAAATAGTGACGACATCATTTGTAACGGGAGTTGTGACACCACATAGATGGTTATGCATGGCGGTTTATGATGCAAACGGTAAAGAAGAGGAGGAGGAGGATGAAGAAGATGAAATTTGTGCTGAATCTTTTAAAAAGTCCAAACAGAGTGGCAAAAGTCCTAAGAAGAAGGCTACTACATCCACCGTGAAAAGTAGTAATTCGTGATTTGACTGTTTTAAATTTTGTTGTTAAAGTTTTCTCTCGTTGTATACTCTACCCTGTTGAAACTAATTCATTCGTTGTGCGCTTTTTTGAAGGTTAATAGAATCTAAGGAGAAATAGCGTTCTTACTGTTTGCTGCTTCAACTAACCTAGATGTCTTTATGAAATTACGTGAAATGGTATTGGATTATATAATTTTAAAAAGGCCTTCAATTAAATGTTCTCACATCTGGAATGTATTGTTATTAGTAATAGTGAACGTTTCACCTGTACGTTCAATAGCATTAAATGTAAGCGTTTTCATCAGTAGCTTTTGTCCTGTATTCAATTCATTGTATTTTTATCCGAAGGGTTAAGGCCAAATTTCGATGATGTATTTATTCAATTTCAAGTATAAAACTAAACTTATCCATACTTGAAAGGTGATGACGAAGAAGGAAATGACGAGGATGGAGAAAATGACGATGAAGATGAGGATGTCGATGATGATGATGATGACGGTAGCGAGTTGGAGGAGGATGATGGTGAAGATTTGGGCACTGGCGATAATGGAGACGACGACGACGCGTGTGGAAGTGATAAAAAGTTATCATCAGGCAAGAGGAAGCAGTCATTCCCTGGTGAGGTCTCTCTCTCTCTCTCTCTCTCTCTCTCTCTCTCTCTCTCTCTCTCTCGTTTTTTCTTTCTTTCTCATATTTTGATTGAATAGATAAATGTTTGTCCTGGCTCTTTCTGTTTTGTTATAGTACCTTTCTCTGTCTCTCTCTTTCTCTCTCTTTCTGTCTTTGTCTCACATTTCGGTACCAAGATTGTCTTATTATTCATTGACCCTGGCGTAGAAAGGTTGGAGATCTCTTGCTTTGTTTTTTATTGAAAGGAGATTAAATTCCATTTTCGTTGGTCGTTGGTACATCATCACGTGATTTTTTTTTTCTAAAAGAATTTAGTTAACCATTTTAATATTATTATATGACGAATACTTTTTCGCATTTTAGATAAGCAGTTGAAGAAAAAACAAAAATTTGCTGGAAAAAATGATGATGAATCTGGAGATGTCAGGTTGAAAAAATCAAACAAAATTGTGAAGAAAAAATCATCTAAAGAGAATGGTTCTAAGAATGATTCTGCTAAAAGAGAGGACTACGTAACTTTTTCCGACGATGATGACGACACTAAAAAGCCCAAGAATAAGAAGTTTCAGTCTAAATATAAATTTAAAAGCCATAAAAAGGCTTTTAACGGTAAAGAGAAATATGTGAGCTTCACCGACGATGATGACAACACTAAGAAGTCCAAGAATAAAAAATTTCAGTCCAAAATTAAATATGAAAACCACAAGAAAGGTTCAAGCAGAAAAGGGAAACACGTTAGTTTTGCCGACGATGATAGCGACTATAGGAAAAACAATAAAAAGTTTCGTCCGCAATATAAGAAAAACAAATCAAAAAATAATAATAGTCCTAAAAAAACGGCTAATAATCGATTTAACAGTAAACGCAGGTTTAATAAGAGGACAAAGAAATGAACATTGTTCTAAAAACTAAATGTATTTCTTTCACGTTTAATAAATTTTATTCTCTTCGTTTTGCGTCCTGTATTAATTATCTCTAAAACAAACAATTTACTTTGTACTCTATCAGTTCCCACACCCGATTTAATGTGTGAGTGTGTGAGTGTTTGTGTAAATATACTATGAAAGTATATACTCCTCGTTATAATGATGGTTCAATAAAACAATTTGCCAAATTCATATAAGAGTATCCAAAAAAATTGTTAAAGAATACAGTTTAACGCTAATTGAAGATCAATGTGTCGTTATCTAAATATATAAATTCTATAGGCGTATATTTACGTATATGTATATATATATATAAATATTCATACTATGTATATAATAATCAAAGTATGTAAATACATATATAATGTATTGTATATAAATGTGTGTGTGTGTGTGTGTAGTATATATAAAATGTTTGAAAAGTTTAGCGCATTAAAATTTTTTTATCATATGTTCGTTTAAAAGTTAAGGTAAGTGTGAGGTACATAGGTACGATTTTTCAGATTTAAAATATGCTTTCTTAAAGTGATCGGATGATATTAAAGTTAACGAATTTTATTTTTTTTGCAATTTTAAATGTATTTATTTTATTTTATTTAAAAAATGTCAAAGGATAAAAAAGACTTAAACTTGATTCCATTGTTCTGTTGTTAACTGTTAGTCTGTTGTTCTGTTCCTCCATCCAATTTCAAATGTATAATATAATAATTGTCAAACTAAAAAATGTGTGTCTCTTCATTTTATAATAAAAAATTATAAAGAAATACTATTGACTATCAATATAATTAATAAATATTATTATTATTTGCTGGTGGGGATAATGTGATATTACTCTAATAATTATTTATTATAATATTATATTAAATTAATTAGAATTAGACTTTAGAGAGTCTAAACTAAATCTTAAAAAAGTTTGTTTTTAAAATTTAAAATCTATCTTCTATACTATATATTATAATTTTATAATATAAATTATTTAGTAGAATTATATTGGATTATATTTTAATTTTTGGCAAAATTGTTATTCCACACTCAGACAAAGAAGAAAAATTCAAAAATATGGCAGGCAACTACACCAACATTGTCACTACTAACACAACCACATCACCAATCCCTAATTTCAGTGAAGAGAATGATGCAGATAATGATAATAACTATGAAAATGTTGAACATGATGACAGCGATTCATCATCGTCAGTCACTCATTCAGATAACAATGATCTAGTCATGAAATCTAACTACAGTTTGAATGACTTAATGGAGGAGTTAGACATAGAAGATGCATCTGATAGCAAGGCTAATGTTGGTGGAGATAGCCAGGGCATATACTGCCTCGAAAAAGAAATGCTAATTTATGAAAATTTAATGATGAATTGGTCTAACTCTAATCAAAATGGTGATTTTATAAATTTAATTTTCCATCTATTTTAATTATCATAATTTATTAATTTATGCATGTGTTACATATGTTTATTTGCCTGTGTGTGTGTGTGTGTGTGTGCGCGCGCGTGTGTGTTGTTTAGTTATATTATGACCTATGTGTGTATTAGTTAAGTGTAATTGTATGTATGTCATGTCTATTTGGAAATAACCTGCAAATTTGTGATGACTTTTATACTATGAATGTATAACTTCATGGAACACAAACCAACCATTCTCGCTTACTACTCAGTAAACCCAATGAATTACATAGTTCCAAAATTAACATATTACTACCTAGAGATGCTAATTAGTAACATCAACTAATTTAATCAAACTAATTTAATCTGTTTTGCTATGTTTGTTAAGCCAATAGTCAGATAGTCACATCACATGTACAGCAACAGTATGCATGAATAGCTTGATTCACTTATTTATTATCTTGTAAGAACATGTTAATATAATTACTCTTAAATAATTATCATTGGAACAGCAACTACTACTATACTAGTATGGCTATTATTATTGCTACTACTGCCACTTACTACTACTACAACAACAACTACTACGACTACTTCTATGACTACTACGACTACTACTACTACGACGACAACGACTACTACTACTACGACTACTTGTATCACTACTAAAACCGCTACTGGTTCTATTGCTGCTACTACCGTTACTACTGAGTTTGATGCTAGTATCACTACTTAATACTGCTACTAGTACAATTAGTAGCATCCTTAAACATCTTGCCTAGGAGGTTTTCTATTGGAATATTTTCACACAATGTATTTATTATTATTATTGCAGCTCTATCAGATGACAATTTTTTTAAGGGTAATTATAACTCATCATTATTGTTATTTATTATTATCATTTATAATTATTGTTATTTATAATTATTTCGTTTAATTACAAATTAATCATGTGATATAATTTTTAATAAAGTCAGCAAGCTTTGGTGGATCAAGATGATCCTTCATTACTTACTATGTATTAACTATAACAATGGTAGAGCTAATTATTAACAATGTTATTGTCGCTACTATCATCATCATTGTCATCATTTTTACTATTTTACTGCTATTAATTGTAGCAATTTTGTATTAGTACTAACAGTGGTAGTAGTAGTAATAGCAGTAGTAGTAGTAGTAGTAGTAGTAGTGTAGTAGTAGTAGTAGTAGTGGTAGTAGTAACAACGGTAGTAGTAGTAGTAGTAGTGGTAGTAGTAGTGGTAGTAGTAACAACAGTAGTAGTAGTAGTAACAGCGACAGCAGCAGTAGTAGTAGCAGCAGCAGTAGTAGTCGGTTTAGTAATTTTGATGTTAGATGCAGTAGTAGGGTTTTAGTAAATATATGGTCGACGTTGTTGTTGGTATCATTTAATAGTAGTTGCGTGGTTGTTGTTGTTGCTATTGTTATTGTTGTTATTATTATTATTATTCACTGATTCATCATCATCACCTCCTTGCAGATGTTTACGAGAATGTAGAATACAACCCATCACCATCTCCAACAACATCAGCCAGTGCAGTTGGTAGGGATGTTGGCGGTGGTGATTCTAATGCATTGAGACGGGCTTTTAATAATCAAAATCTAACAGACAGAACTAGGCTGAATAAAATCTGTCATTTCAATAACAACAACAACAATAATAAAATGAATAATAACAATAATAATAATAATGGTATTTGTATGGAGGAAAATTTAGACTATGAGGTCTGCGCCTATGAAACTGACTTTAATTTCTATTGCAACGATATTAATAACAATAATAATAATAATAATAATAATAATAATAATAATAATAATAATGTTAATAACGTTAAAAATCAGCGACAGTTGAATAGCTTACAAATGAAAAAATCCAACTCGAAAGATAGTGCTAATGACATCTACGAAGAGATCGATGATGATGATGGTGATGGCGGCTGTGGTGCTGATGATGATGATGATGAACAGCGCGGCGGTGATGATGACGATGACGATTATATGAGGGGCGTGATGAGGGATAATGTGGAGAATGAGAAACAGCAAGAGAAATTGAATAAAAATAAGCCCAACAAATCGTTCCTATTGTCATTCATGAAGAGGAAAAACAACAACAACAACAATAATAATAATAATAATAACAATAATAACAACAGTAAGGCTAATATGTCGAAATCTAAAAATTTAAAGTTGAGAATTGATAATAACAATACCAGTATCAATTGTAGTAATGATGGTAGGAGGAAGCCCGAAAGTCAGAACACTTTAGAAGTTAGTACAGGGCTACAGTTGAGTTATTAAAAGTGTATTATTATTATTATTATCCTTTTTTGTCATTATTATTATTATTTTCCACAATTTTCCTAGGCCCCAACCACAAGTACCAGCGTCCTTAACAAGTTAACCCGATTTGGGCATAAATTTTCCGGAAACAACAACAATAACAACACCAACAACCAAAATAATAATAGTAACAACAACATTAACAACAATAATAATAATGATAATAATAATAATAATAATAGTGATGTGCCTAACACGGCGCCCACCGCCGTATCCCATAGTGATAATGTAATACTAGGTGATGGTTCAGATGACCACCACCTTCATTTTGGGACTAGGATGTTCAGTCCTGCTTGCCTGCCCCTTCAAATGCCTATGCATCTGTCTGCTATAAAGGTTTTGTATGTGTGTCAGTGTGTGTGTGTCAGTGTGTGTGTGTGTGTCAGTGTGTGTGTGTGTGTCAGTGTGTGTTGTTTGTGTGTGTATCTTTGTTTTATAGTGTAACTTTAATGAACAATTATTTCGCATTTGCATTAATGAACAATCATGTTATAAAGTACAATAAACAGAAAATTGATAATTAACGTTTAAACAAACAAATTAAAACAAATAAACAGACTAGCATAAACAAATGAACGAGATTGAATACACACACATACACACGTACACACACGCGTACATTCACACGTACACACACAAACACACACACAAACACACAACAGTTGAAAAGAAGATTGATTGTTGAATCCATCATAAGTACAGAGCGATCCTATATATTCTCACTGAAGAGGCTCATTGAAGTATGTATATTCATTTAAATGTATGTGTGTGTGTTTGTTTGTATGTATGTGTGCATGTTTTGTGTATGCGTTGGTGTGTAGTGTATGTACAAGTTAATGTACAAATGTACAAACAAACATCTTGTACACATATGTGCAAACAGACATATACGTAGAAGTATGTAAAAATAATTGTAGATACAAACTCGTGCATACATATAAGCATGCAGGCATACGTACACTCATACATGCATACAAACAAACATTCATACATACAAACAAACAGACAAACAGACAACATAAAAAATATTAAAAATTAATTTAAATAATTCCCAACATAACCACAAACATAGAAATGAAAATAAAAATAAATTAACTACCGACCAAGGACTATCAGTTTCCATTGCTGAACGCCCAACCGTCCATTATCAGTCACAAATTAGTGAAGGTCATATTTTGCAAGGTCAAGGACATTCTTCAATGTCACCTGCTCTTCCATGGCGAGCTTGTTGGCGTAGCCGATACCTGGGACCAACTGGAACTCATCGGCGATGTTTTCACCGCCTCAGTTGGTTGAATGGGGGGTTGAACCATCCAGTTTTTGATTGGTTGATTGAGCGATATTTGACTGACTGGTTGGCTGATTGAGTTATTGATTGGTTGATTGATTGGTGGAATGATTTCTTTTTCATCCAACTCAAGTTTTCCAAGCTGGTAGTGTTTGAGGCCTACAGCGAGTACGTCAACAACTTCCCCATCGCTATGGAGACAGCTAAGAAGCAAGCCAGGGCCAAGTCGAATTTCAATACGTTCTTGAAGGTTTCTAATCATTATTAGCTTGCTTTATTGTTCTAGATCGCGATATTTATTTGTATTTTGGGTACTTGTTTGTACATTTCTATATCTAAATGTGGTGTATTTTGATCTATTTTTATGTTTTGTATTCTAATTGTTTCACTTTGTTGCGCTAAATGGTGGAATTCGATTGTACTAAAAACGGTATTCTTCTTTTTTTAAATTACTCCATCTAAATATAGGAGAGAATGCTATCATCTGATGATAGACTATCTCTGTTTGGACTGATGGTTAAGCCAATACAAAGATTCCCACAGTTCATAATGCTTATCAAGGTATTTCTGGCCGTTTTATATGTGTGTGTATCGGTGTTTTAAGACTTTAAATCTTACGTTTTTTTTTCTGTATTTAATGAAATTGTATTATTTTTGTACGTTGTTGTGTTGTGAAATTGGTGTACTTTGGTGTACTCTGTATGCGTGTATATGTTATCAACAGTTTTCAACAATTAAAAAGCGCTGTATATAAATTTCCGCAATAATAAACAAACAAACAACACATCACACGTTTAGACGGCATTTTCCCCGAGATCGGGGGTTGCCGTTTGGCTACCTATGATGAAACCGAAATACCCCTCGACGCCATCCACATCTGTCACTCGCCTCAGTATCACGCAACCCCGCTTTCATCCTGTCCTTCTCCACCTGCTTTCTCCATCCCAATCGCGGACGACCCCTTCCTACCACTCCTTCAACTTCGAAATCCAACGCTCGCCTAATCCCGACCCTTTCATCCCTTCTCAACACATGTCCATACCACCGCAATCTCGATCTCCTTATCAATGTCACAATGTCCTCATTCAGTCCCATCATCGACATCAGCTCTGTACTACTCCTCCTATCCTTCACTTTAACCTCACACATCATCCTCACCATAGCTCTTTCAGCCCTCTGCAGTACACTTTCCTCCTCTCTCCTCAACACCCAAGTTTCACCACCATATACCATCGCTGCTCTCACACATGCTTTATATACCCTCCCTTTCATCTTCACTGACCATTTCTTTCCACACAATACCCCACCCAGTTCCCTAAATTTCATCCATCCTATACGAACTCTAGCCGTAACTGCGCTCAAACATCCTCCATCCGCATTCAGCTTATCCCCTAAGTAAACAAAGCTTTCCACTCTTTCAATACCACCACTCAACCCCGTCCTTGCGTCCGTCCTATTATTTTTTAAATTTCCGTGATAATAATAATAATAATATATTTTTAGTTGTATCGTTATTAAAATGGTATTGTTTTTGTATTTTGTATCATCATCATCATGAAATGACGTCAACACTACAACAAACAACATCATCATCGAATGACGTCATCACACGACCTACATCATCGTTATCAGGATCTTCTGGGCAGCACCCCAGTGGACCACCCAGATAGGTTGTCCCTTCAACTTGCACTAACTGAACTCGAGATGCTCACTGACAGACTGAACGAAACTAAAAAGGAAAGCGAGAGTAGGATCGAGGCTAAAAAAATCCGGGAAAACTTACCGTTTTCGGTTTCTATAAATAAATCGGAGATGGGCGACTGCAAGTTTATCAGGGAGGATGACGTCTTGCAACATGTTGGTGAAGTTTTTTTTTGGCAATTTTTCAAATTTTGATCTAAGCGTGGTTATGATGATGATACTGATGATGATGATGATGGTGATGTCTATAATGATAACGAGATTGATTATGACTGTTCGTAACGACGATGATGACGACGACGACGACGATGATGATGATGATGATGATGATGATGATGATGACTGTGATTGTACCAATTGACGATGATGATAAGAATGATGATGATGATGGTTATACTGTAGATGATGATGATGTTGGTAATGATGAGGATGATGACGATGATGGTTATAATGTAGATGATGATGATGGTGATGTAGATGATGATGGTGGTGGTGATGATGTAGATGATGATGATGATGATGTAGATGATGATGGTTTATCACCTCCTGTTCAGAAAACGACTCGGCACGGCGAAACGAAGAGCAAGGAGAAGAGGTTGTTCATGCTGAGTGATTACGTCGTTTGCGCCGACATCGTCAGGCAGTTGGTTATGATGACGATGATGATGGTGGCGATGATGATGATGGTGGTTGTGATGACGATGATGAAGAAATGGTGTTATTTGAGACGTGTTAATAGATAACGATCTTAGCTTGCTCGTTTCGATGTTTATCGAATTAATAGTTTTTTGAAATTTTTAAAATTTTTTTGAAAATCTCAGTAAAGAAGCAGCATTTACCGCGGACAACAATAACAACATCAACCCCTCAACAACGGCAACAACAGCAAACAACAGCAACAACACAACATCGCTAGCAACAGCATCATCATCAACAGCAATGACAACAACACCAACAACAAACTCTGGAGCCATTGAAAAATTAATTTTTTCCTGGTTGGCTCTCGTTTCAGATATCGAGGTCTTGGACCCAATTCTGCCGAAAAATTTTCAACAACATCAGCAGCAGCAACAACAACAAATGATGGTAAGCAGAAAACCACCATCTGCGTCACTAGCAACGTCGTTTAGCAATAAGAAAAAGGATGGTTAGTCTCTCTCTTTCTCTCTCTCTCTTTCACTCTCTCTCTCTCTTTCTCTCTCTCTCTTTCTCTCTGCTGTTGTATAATAATGGTGTTGTGTGTTGTTGTTTGAACTTTTCTTTTCGCGTGTATTTCTACTAGATAAGCAAGCCAGCAGCTACAACCCACCATCCCTGAAATCTCTGCCATCACTGGTTATTACGTCACCGTCATCGTTGTCGTCGTCATCGCACCATCAGCCATTCATGAGGGAGCTGGAGGCAATGTTGAAAGATTTGAAGTGTCTCGAGACCATCTATAGTCTGTATCAGACTCTTAACTTGAAATACGAGGTTTGTTTTTTTACTCATTTGTTTGTTCTTTCACTCTGTCAGTCTTTCATTTATTTAATCAGTCGTTCGTTGATTCATTCATTCGCGCATTCATTCAAGCATTGCTTATTCATTTATTCATACATTCATTCATTCATTCTCATTCACCCAATATTTTTTCATTTGTTTACCCACTTATTCTCATATTCACTTAGTCATACATTAACATACATTTTCACAAATTCATTCGTTTGTCCATCAATTTAAATGCTCTTTCATTCACTCGTTCGTTCATTCATTCATTCATGCACTCGTTCATTCATTCATTCACTCACTCCTTTATTCATTCATTCACTCGTTCGTTCATTCAGTCTTTCCCAGCTGATTGCATATTGAACCCCATACAAAGCCTCGAGATGTTGGTCAGGCAGAAATGCAACGTGGATGCTAACACTGTCCATTTGTCGGTCATCATCAAGTTGGTGACGATGATGCTGCTGATGTTGATGATGATAAAGATAATGATGATGATGATGTTGTTGCTGATGATGACGATGATGATATTGTTGTCGATTGTTCTCTATTACGCATATCGCGACTCACATATTATAATTTTATAATTTGTGTATACACACAAATTCTATTTATAACTAATGGACTGCTGCTAAACTAATTAAACATCATTTGTTTGGAGACGCGCACATACACACACACACACATACACATATGCACACACACTTGTGAACTCACGATAATGATTAGTGATAGATAATAATTGTTTTTGTCGTCTTGTTTATATATATCATCACTGATCATGATGGTGATGATGATAATGATAATAATAATAATAATTATTATTATTATTGTTATTATTATTATTATTGTAATTGTAGTAAAGAACGCAAGAATTTGATTCTGGAATTTCCCAGTCTGACCTCGAAACATGATTGGCTGATCGAACTGCAGAACGCTAAACTGGCCACAGGTTATGGTTATGATGACGTTGTCCACGATGATAATGATTATTATTATTATCATTATTATTATTTCTTATTTCTTATTATTATTATTGTTGTTATTATTAATATGAAGATCCATTGAGACATCCATGCTGGCTGCTACCAGAGAATAATCCACTATCATCAAGGAATCCAAAGTTCTCCGATAGGTTGATGATAACTTTGGATAGTGGAATGAAGGAAGAGAGAAAGGTTGGTTGGATGAATGATGGTGGTGGTTATGATGATGATGATGATGTGATCGGTGAGTAATATTTTTAAATATTTTAATATTTTCAGTTGTCTTTGAGGCCAAAGAAGAAAATCGGAGATGAGGTAATATAGTCATTCATTCACTCATTCATTTTTATATTCATTTCTCCATTCATTCATTTATTCAGTCATTCATATTCATTCATTCATTCAGTCAATTATTAATTTATCCATTCATCAAATCTCACACATCTATCCAGTCATTTCGTCCTTCCATTCATTCTTTCATCAATCTCTACAATCTCTACACCCATCAATCCATCTTTAACAGGTGACCTGCGGAACCCTGGTGACCCTGCCGTGCCCCTTCGGACCCGGGGTAGGAATCCAGCACATGTGGGTTTGCTGCGGGGTCAAGGTCGTCGTCGTTTCCGTCCACACCAATCAGCCATTCATCGTTGAGCAGTTTGTATTAAGCAATAGTAATAATAATAACACAAGTGCCGGCGTTTTATTGGCTGAAACTGTGCCCGGTCACGTGAGATCCAATGAGAAAGTGGGTCGTGTCAGGACCAATGAGAAATTAGGACGCGTTAAAGTGGAGGTCAAAGTTGAAAAGGTCAAAGATAATGATGATGATAATGAGAAGCAAATTTCCGATGCTATTGATACGTTTAAAAGTAGACTTAATTACGATGAAGAGGAGGATGAGAATGATGAGGAAGAAGAAGATGATGAAATGAACTTGAAAGAAGGAATGAAGAAAATTGAAGGTGAATCTGTCTGGATGGTGACTGAAGATAATTTGTAAGTCGATTTTTCATTGGTTATTGTATTTGTATTTGAATAAATGACCGTTTCTGGTTGGTTCTTTAAAAGCATTGTACATACATACACACACACACACACACACACACACACACACTTATATTTTCTTATACCCAGGCTCTATATAATGCCAGTAAATCAAGCATCTAGGTCACCTGATAACAGCCAGCCAATCAAAATCGAGGGTAAAGTAGGTCAGTAAACTTTATCATCATTATCATTTATGGTTTATTATTATCATCGTAATTATAGTAACAATTTATTGGCTGGCGTCATTTGAATACGTGTTAATCATTAACACGTGATGGCTGTTTAATAATAATAATCATTATCATCATCGTCGTCGTCATCATCATCAATATCACCATCACCACTATCATCATTATCAACACCACCGTCATCATTATCATCACCATTTTCTTTATTAGCGGGCAAAATCAAATGCATGAAGTATTGCGACAATCGATTGTACCTGGGCAGTGATAGAGGTGAACTGATTACGTACTACAGGTGTCCTCGAACAGGTAAAAATCGGGGTTGTGCTGATTATTCTACAAATTAATTATCAATTAATAATCCTTCCGTTTGTATACGGCTACATTTTTCAAAATTACTCTGCCTAAATCGTTATATTTGTGATTCTTTTTGATAATTTTTTTTTTCATTTATACATTATACATTCTTAGGCCACTGGAATATGAACAATGCGAAAATTGTCAATCTAAACCGTATGAGTTGTAATAATAATAATGATGATAATTATAATAATAATAATAATGTTAATAATAATAAAAATAATAACAATAATGGAAATAATAATATTCCGATTTCGTGTTTCCTGATCGACGAGGACAAATTGTGGATTGCCTCTGGATGTAGAATCATCATCATCTCCGCCGCAGATGATGATGATGATAATGATCATTTCAATAATAATGGTTATGATGACGATCATATATATAGCAATGAACCAACTGAGGAGAAGTTGCCATCATCAGCAGCAGCGAACACAACGACAACAACAACAACAAGCCATTTAAAAATCTTGAAGCAATACAATTTACTAGCCGAAAACAGTAACATGTCATCATCGTCATCATTATCGCTAGCTTCATCCCCATCTTCATCATCATCTTCTTCTTCTTCCGTTTCGTCATCGCCGATAATAGAGTGCATGGTGAAGGCTGGGGCAGGATTGTTAATCTCGTTTAGGAGTCAGTCGGTTATTAAGTTGTACCACGCGGAAAGTTTCAAACACCTTCAGGATATTAACATTGCCTCCGCTGTTGCACATTTTCTAGAAGGTTTGTTGTTGCTGTTGTTGTATTTGTTGTTGTATTTGTTGGTTGTGGCAATCATTAAGGTGTTGTCTACGAAATAATAGGATGTTTGCAAAAACATTTCGTAAATCCAACTCAGGCCACCAGACAACGGATCACCACCCATCGCCATCTTCATCCTCGTCCATCTCAATTACCGCCATGCTGTCTGATAAGGGAGTTCTCTTTATAGGGACCAACTGGGGTTTCATCCTCACCGTCCCTATGCCGAGACTCGAGGGCCTACCTAATTTTAGGCAGAGACCGGCCGTCTCTTATCAAGGACATGCTGGATCAGTTAAGTTTCTATGCTCTATGAGGTGTTCATTTGTTGAGCAACAAGACAAACAACAACATCAGCAGCAGCAACAAACTCAGCAATCTGTTTGCGATCAGCAACCGCAACAGCAGCAGCAGCAACCACATATCAGTGAGCCACATAATGAAGATGTTTGTAGTTCAACATCTAGAACAATGTGCTGTGATACATACTGTTTAGAACGACAACCAGTGCAACAACTACAGCAACAAGATCAAGACGTTTTATCTCAAAATGAGGATTGCAATGCTTATCAAGAAATTATGCCGCAACAGCAACCGAAACTGCAACCGCAACAGCAACAACCGCAACAGCAACCGCAGCAGCAACCGCAGCAACCACAATCGCTGCAGCAACTACAACCACAAAATACTGACAACACTAGCACTACAACAGCCTCACAAAGCGATCAAAACAGCCAAAACATATACTACCCAATGGTTGTAACCAACAAATCATTGCTCAGTAACAACGCTAACATCGTCAAAAACATCGTCAACAACATCAACAACAACAGCATCAACAACAACATCAGAGTCAACAGACATGTAGCTAGAGCTCTGAAATCATCAACAACAATCGCAACGACACCACCAACGTCAACGATATTAAGGAGTGTCGTTACAAATTATAAAAATAGCAATTCTACAGCAGAAACAATGAGGAATGATACGTCAATTTATGTGGAGTCTGACATTAAAAACAACGTCAGCTGCAGTAGCAGTTGCAGTAGCAGCAGCAACAACAACAGCAGCAGCACCACCAACAGCAACAGCGTCGCAACATCATTGTCACTATCATCGTTTTCTGGCAATATTTGGTCATCAACGCCTGATTTGAGGTGTCAGTCTTATCAGTTGCACTCCTTAGAAGATGATGTTCAGATGAATGGTAATGTTTGCCTGTTCGTTTGTTTGTTTGTTGGATCGTTCGTTTGTTTATTGGTTCGTTCGCGTTCGTTTGTTTGTTTGTGTTTCATATAATATATAATCATGATAAAATAATTAAATGTAATTAGAAACTGTTCATTCAACTTTATAAAATTCGATTTTCTAAAAAAAAATTCAACCTAGTGATGTATGAGAGCCTCTTGAAGAGTTTTAACGATGATGACGTCACGTTACTCGATAGATCATTATCATCATCGTCAGCAGCAGCAACATCTACGTCATCAGCCACAACATCGTCATCAACACCTCACAAACAACACCAACACAATTTCGCCGCTAGTCAGTTCGTTTCAAGTTTATCAAAAATTAGAAATTTTGCCGGGAGATTAAACAGCAAAACGTTACAACAGCAACGACGCAATACAACAACGTTGCCGTCATCGACAACCGCAGCAGCAGCTGCTGCAGCAGCAACAACAACTTCCCAAAAATCTGATCTGATGAGAAGCAGTAGTACTAAAGTAGCTAAAAAAGCCAGAGATTTTCGGCAGCAACAGATGCGACACTCTAGCGCCCTAGTCACACAACTACAGCCACTTCTACCACAGCCCCCACAACAATCACAGCCACAATTACTGCAGCCACAACAGCCACAACTTCGGCGAAACTCTCAAAAAATTCTTCCCACTCTTGAGTCAGTTGATGAGGAAAATACTAAACAAGTTGAAACCGTTGGTGAGAGTTTAATAAAAAATAACAATAACAACGACAGCAGCAACAACAACAGCAACAACATTAATGAAACCGTCAACATTAATAGCGATGACATCAATAGCCACAGTGACAGCAATAGCATTTACAGTAAACAGTCAGAAATATTTCATCAGCTGGAGAGTGAAAACCCTCTACCAGTTTATCAGAATATGGGAACATCTGATTTTTCAACAACAACAACAACATCATCATCAATACTAAGAACATCATCATCAATACTAACAACATCATCATCAGTACTAACAACATCATCATCATCAATACTGACAACATCACCAACAACAACATCGTCATCATCATCAACAACAGCAACAACATTATTATCATTAGTACAGCAGTCAACATCTCACTCTTCGTCAAAGCCGCCAACATCACTATCAAAACCTCACTCACCGGCGTCATCATCATCGACGTCATCATCGACGTCATCATCGACGTCATCATCATTCTCATCACCACCATCATCAAAACCACACCAACCCCCGTCGTCGTCATCATCACCATCCTTCCACATAACCATCCCGTCAAACACGGCCATGCTCACATCAAACCTGGCGAACGTTCCTAAGAGTCGAATCGTCGTCTTCATCAGCGGAGGTCAAGGCTACGTAAACTGGAATTCCCAGAATCTTAAAAATAGCGATTCTAAAAATAGCGATTCTAAAAATAGCGATTCTAAAAATAGCGGTCCATCCTTGAATCACGATAAGCCACATTTACTTTTGTGGGTGCTGTGAAGATTATGTTTTTTTTCCTTTAATGACGTCAGCATATATTTATTTTCACAAATTATATTTTTTTAATAAACACCTTTTCTTCAAGTTTCGCTTTTGTTTTTGTGTATTTTTCTGTGTTTTTTTTTACTCACTATTCAGCATATTAATCCTGTGAGAGGCTTATTTTAGTATTAGTATTGTTCGTTTCACTTCTCGTTTTTATCATTTTGTTTTTTGTGTGATGTAATCGTGTGTAATGTAATAATGTGATTATTTAATGTGTTAATGCCATTTATCGATATGTATTCAATCAAATTTCTTTCATTTTTAATCTGCCAAATAAATGTTTATCAAGACTGATTGATGACTGCCTGCTGATTTGAGCCTGCGCGTATTCATTTAGTAATTCGTTCATTCATTCATTCATTCATTCGTTCATTCATTCGTTCATTTACTTGTTCATTCATTCATTCATTCATTCGATTTTCGTTCGTTCATTCATTCATGCAATCACTCATTCATCCATTGGTATTTTAATGCGATCATTCATTCTCCTTTCTCCATTTTGCGTAGGTTTTTAAATTTTAATTGTTTTTTAATTACAAAATTTTTCCTATGTTAAATGCGTAGTATACTCTTTCTCTCTCTCCTCTCTCTCTTCATCTCTATCTTTGTTTATGCGTTAAACAGTTCAAAACAATATTTCCATGACTTTTTTATTCCATTTCTTCAAATAATTTTTTTGATAAAATTGAATTTTCGAAAATTATTTTTGGATGAAGTTTTTTTATATGTAATTTAAATATATTAGTTTATTCGTTTATATTTTTAATTAATTTATTTAATTTTTACTTCAAGATAATTATTTATTTATTATTTTTATACTTTCGTTTTTATACTGTAAAGTTTAACTTGAAGTGCATTACTTGTAGAAGACACAGACACACAAAGAGATAGATATATAGAGACACTAATATTATCGTCTAATAACTTTGAACAAAACAACGTAAACTTTTTTCTACTGGCTGTCTCAATTAATTAACAGTCATCCCTCTCTCTTTCTTTTCCTTATATATATATATATATATATATATATATATATATATATATATATATATATATATATATATGTGTGTGTGTGTGTGTGCGTCTGTGTGTTTATGTGTGTATGTATGTTATTAGTTAATTATCGGCTTATGAATTTCACCGCTTATCTTTATACATCTTTTTGTCTTTTTTAGAATTGTTAATGATAATTAAAGACAGAGCATTTATTGACGTGTGTGTGTATTTTTATACATAAAAATGTATGCAGATGTATGTGAAACTTATTTTTAGAACAACAAAACCCATTATTTCGTGTATTTTTTGTATTATTCTGTTTGTATTTTGTATGCAGTGTTTGCACGTACTGTAATAATGATGTTTATGGCAACTTATTTTTTGATAAAATTTTGATAAATTTTTACGGCAACCTCTCAACTTTTAATGCCGTTTTAAAGAGGTCGTATTTCGAAAAATTAACCTTTAACCTTAACTGATTTCGACGTTCAACTCATTTAAAACGTTCATCTCGTCATTTCAGGCTGTCTTGACAGAACATTCTTTGCCATATAAAATTCGCTCCAATTCTGATCAATTGTCTCCGAGATATTCAGCTCCGAAGTTTCCAACACCATCCCTCCATGTTTCCACTTATTCTCATGCTTTTCTCTATTTTTTTTTTTTTGAATATTTCTTTTAGATTTAAGTTCTTTTCGAGACTAAAAAGCTTTTAATGTGACATTTCGACTTAAAAATGACAAGTTACCATTATAAGACTCAACAAGTTCCTCAAAGATGTTATCTTATGTGCATTTGTCCTACGTACTATTGAAAATTTTTTTTCAAATTGTACGAAATTTCCATGATAATAAATGGAACAACGACATAAATCAATATTAAGCGTTTTATTGCATACATCCATTTGTTCATTTCGTCATTCATTGGTTAGGCTAGAGGCAAAATAAGTTTTGTCAAACTTGTTCGTTTATTTATGCATATATCTATTCATTTCTTTTATTCATAGACTCGTTCATTCATCTATATATTCCTTCATTCATTCGTTCATTTGATTCATCCATCCATCCATTTAACGTTTTATTCATCCATCCCTGAATATCTAATTGATGTTCTTGAGTTCTTCCCTGATGGCAGACACCAATTCAGATCTTGGCACATCTCTCTGTTTGTGAGGACAAATTAACATTTTATATTTGTTCTTCGTATTTTAAAGTAATTAAGTAAATAAGTGAATATACGGTTATTTATTTTAATCATAAAAATGCTAGACAACCAACCATCCAATATAGAATCGAAACTAAAGCTTATTCATGAGTAAGACATGAGAACAAACTTAAATAAACGAACAAAAGAATAAGTGTGAGACAACAGAGGTGAAAAAAACACACAGACAGACAAACTTGGAGACAATCAAACACACTATCAAAGGTACTCAGACAAACAAACAGACAGACAAACAAATGACCTCTTCCCTCGTTTTAACTTTCCTCAACTTGACCACCCCTTTCTCCAGTTCAGCCTCTCCAACGATGACGGCGATGGGTATCTTGTTCTCTTCACAATATTGCAGCTGGTTCAACAGTTTCGGGTTGTATTTGTATGCCTGCTCGGTCTGCAAGGTGTTTGGAGCATGTTTGCTTTGCTATCATGTCATGAAGAATGTATGCAAAGGCTTGCGAGGTCAAGCTCTTTTAAAGGTATTTAATAATAAAAAAATTTCCAAATAAGAAAAGTATTGAAACGTTGGAGGATAAGAGGCACACATACACCGAAACATACAGGCACGACGACACACACATACCTTGATACCAGCATCCCAGAGCATACGACACAGCTCAGCCCTCTTCTCGGCCAGATTCTTCTGCGCAGAGGCGACAAAAACTTCAGTCTCGGTAGTCCTCCTCTCCAACTTTTCCTCCGCTATCTTCTGTTCCATGATGGAGAAGATCCTCTCGATGCCGAAACTGATACCGACGCAAGGGACTTTGCGGCCCTTCGGGTCGAACATACCCACTAAATCGTCGTAGCGCCCTCCGCCGGCTACACTGCCCACGCCCGCGTTCGAACCCGGGTCGTCGCCGCCGTTTGCGGTTGGTTTGGCTATGTGCTGCTTACCTGTTGTGGACGTGGGTGTTGGTGATGTCACTGTTAATGGTGTCATTAGTGTTACTGATGTTATTTTTTGTGTCATTATTGTTATTGATGTTAATGTTATAAGAGGTAAAATCACTTCAACACTTGAATTAATTTATCACTGATATGAAAATTGTTTAATCATTCATTCATGTCCAACATCATCTTCTCCATAATCATCATCATCATTATTATATTATTATTATTATTGTGATCCTGCCCACCTTGAACGACAGCTTCAAAGATGACACCAGTATAATAATCCAGACCCCTCGCCAAACTCAGATCGAACAGAACCTACAAATCATTCATTCATTCAATCCATCAATCAATCGGACATTCAGTCAGCCAATCAAGCAATCAATTAACTATCGATCAATCAATCAATATATATATATACATATATATATATATAAACAATACATATATGTATGCATACACCACAGATACAGATCTAAAAATTGTAAATCATTAAAAAAATAAATAAATAATTTATTGAAATAAAAACGCACCATATCAATGACACCATAAATCTCACAGAACTTCAATAAAACGTTCATATCCTTCAGACCTTCCATAGCTAACTTTTCTTTGGATAACTTCTCGTCTTTCTCTAATTTCTCGATTAATTCTTTGCCACCTTTTTACAATGATGTAACATTTTTGATCGATTGGTTGGATGCTTGATTGATTGATTAATTGATTGATTGATTGACTGATTGATTGATCAGTTAAATGAGTGAGAGATAATTATTATTCTAACCATTTAATCTGACATATTCTCCAACAAGATTAGCACAATGTTCATCCAAGCCTTTCTCTTTCACCATTTCTTCCTTAACTTCCTCCCATGGTGTCTTTTATTGAAATAAAAATTTATTTGCTTATTGATAAATAAATAAATATCAAGCTAATTTGGAACAATATAAAGTTGTAACGACAAAACGTAAATAAAATATAAAAAAAATATAATAATGTATTTCAAGCAATTATCATGGCCAGTGCGTTGGTGTAACGGTAAAGTACCTGGCGCTGCTACTGCAATGACCGGATTCGATTACAATCAGATCCCCACCAAGAGGATGCAATGTGTGATGCCTTCTTTCACAGTGCATTTACTTACATACGCTGTGTGTTTAGTGCTGCTGAAGAGGGGAAGTAAATGAATGAATGAGTGAATGAATGAATGAATGAATTAATTAATTAATTGATAATATTAACAATGAAGTGTAAATTTCGATAAGAAAAAGATAGCTTAACTTCAAGTGGGATATTAGCAAATTAAAGAACAAATAAAAATAAGGAAGAATCAATCAATCAATCGCTCACTCACTCTCTCAATTGACCATCTATTGAATTACTCACTCAATCAATCAATCAACAAATAATTAACCCCACCCACCTTGTCCAGCTTATCAACGGACGAACTGATGGACCTGAACTTCTCTGTAGGTATGCCACAAGCGGCAAACATGCCATCCAACAACTTTCTATGGTTGACCTTTATAATGATCTGACCTATATTTTTCAATGTTTTACGGTAATTATTTGACCTACTTTTTTTAATTGTCTGACTTATATCTACTAACGAAATCAATATTTAACTACGATCTGACCGATATAAATCATCATTCAATTATGATTTGACCTACATTAGATGCTAATAATCTTATTTGCACCTTCAACAAAGCCAGCATTTGACACACTGACCTGACCTATATAATTAATGAGATCAATAATTAATTACGACTTCACCTATATTTAACGAGGTCAAAATTTCTGCAGCCAACTTAACACACTCAGCATCTGGAAGCATTGGATCATACTGGCCTGCTATATCAAAATCCTGGAAACGTGATATATTTTAATGACATACACATTTATATATATATATATATATATATATATATATATATATATATATATATAAGCATTTATATATATATATATATAAATGATAAAACATTATGAATCATAATGACATAATTTAATTGTAAATTGAGTAATTTGTTCTATCATTTTAAATAATTTAATTAATTTTAATTTAAAATTTTTTTTTCACTAACACATTGGTAAAATTCCCTAAATCTGCCTCTGGTCATAGCGGGATTGTCCCTTCTATATACCTTGGCTATGTGGTACCTCTTGATGTTCTGGATCTTATTCATGGCTACGTAACGAGCAAATGGAACCTAAAACAATTTTCAATTATTACTTCTTATTATTTATATTCTTGTTATAATTGAAATATAAAAAAAAAAAACTAAATCATTTTTAAATTCCATGATGTTTTTAATTATGCATATATACACAAACAAAACTAGATTCAAACATAAAAAAATAGCAAAAATTGGGACAAAATCTTAAATGTCAATCAAAAAATAGGGACGTGCAACCAACATCAAAAGTAGGGACGTGAATGAATATAGAGTATAATCTACTTACAGTTAAATCGTATCGTAGGGATAAAACTTCCCCACCCTGATCAGCGAGGTCGTAGATGAGTTTGCTGTCTTCCCCATATTTGCCTGTTAGGGTTTCCTGTTGGAATTTTGTTTTTGGAGCTAATTTATAAAATAATAATAATATATATATAAGAATAAGAAACATTTTCAATGAAACAGCGGGCTTAAACTTGAAAGAAAAAAAATTATTTTTTAGTGTTCATTAAATGAGGTTGCAAGACATTTAACCCAAATTAAAAATATATCAAAATTTTTATAAATAATGAAGAGCGGAATTAAAACAAAAGTTCACTTTTAACTCGAAGACCGGAGTATCAATAGAGACAGCCCCATGCTTTTTGAAGCATTTTATGATCTTACTGAATGCTTCTTCCTTGATGACCATTTGCAGAGGATTGTAATCTCTAGTTCCCTGTAGAAGGAGCAAACAAAAGTGAGATCCTTAAGTTATTTCTTATTTAAATATCAATTATTTTCCATATCTTTTCAAGTTTTTTCTATATTTCCTATCTATCAAGAATATATTTTTAGCTTTTCTATAATTTGGACGATTGTGGTTACAGATTTGGTTTGCTTTAGAGTTTAGTAATTCAAATGTGTTGAGTTGGCAGTGTTAAGTCAACAGTAGTTTAGTAGGAAGGATATATTGAAATGGTCAACCTTAGGGCATTTGAGTACGAATTTCCCGGTTTGTGAGTCATCTCCTAATTCTGCCTTCAGGGCCAGTAACTTTGCTACTTCCTTTTCAATCTTTTTGAAAAAATTTATAAGCACAATGAAATTTTTAAAATTTAAAAATGGTTTTGAGTAAACATAAGAACTATTAGCAACAAATTTAATTTAAAATTTTTTTAATGGGAAAAATTTTAAAAAATTATTTTAAACATCCAAAAAAAATCTACCTGTGATACATATAAAGTGGATTGGAGTTTTGAATGTAAAAATTTCAAAATATTGTTGGAGCACGATGATGACGTTAACAATGTGAACAGTTTCATGTTGGAGTTGTAGCAGTAGTAGTCACAGTTCAAGAAAATTTTTGTGATGATCGGAATATTATGAATGTGATCCAAATAAAATATTTGATGAGTCAAATCAGCCAGTAGCAAATTTATGTTGATTTTTGCAGATGGAGACCATTGAATGTAGTAGTAGTTAGTAGAATAGAGACAGTTGGGTCCAAGTCAATTGAATGATTGAGATCAAAATTATATGTGTCAAATTTTTGCAACTTCAAAGTTCAAACCAATGATTACAGCTATTTCAAATTCAAAATAAACATTACAATCCTATTCTAACTAGCTCTGAACACATTGTTTGTATTTAGTTAGTAAAATGATAGAATAAATGAATGAATTAAATTTAATAATGAATAAATTAAAATATCTTATCTTATAGATTTATATTAACTTAAAAATTTCTAATAATCTACTAATAACTAATCTTATTTTCATTTCAATTTTATAAATAATTTTTTAAATATTTAATTAAAAATATTTTTGTCATTACAAGTAAAATCTGAAAAAGCGTCTAAAAAATTTCACTTGGATGATAGAGTTATGATCGCCATATATATAATTAAATTAAATAATTTTAAATTTAATTGTAAAAAACAACATATGCAACAAAACAGCACAATAGGACACCATGCAACATCAATGATGCAATAGGAATACATACAGTATAAATAACATCGTAAGTAAAACGTGTAAAGTAAGTCACAAACAAAAATCAAGTGACAAAATGATTAACCTCGTCAGATGGAGCTTTATCGCTTTTTAATTTCCTAATTGTCATGCCCAGTTCGGCAATTTTATTCTGTAAATCGTCAGACATGGTCAGGGAGTTTTGCTGAATCCACTTTTAACTAGAGAAGTAAATGACGTTCGAGGTTAGATCAATGTTCAACCTATCTTTTTTATAATATTCTTACCATTGGCTGCTAGGAATAGAATGTACGTGTTTTATATATTATCAGACTAATCAGTTTGAAAACCATTCTGGGTATGTGCTAAACTAAAGTCTTAAAGTAAAACTTGAAGTATTAAAAAGTTTTAAATTCCAGCTAAGGATTTTACAAGTAAATAATACACAACTTTTAGAACAAAATTGTATTTAACGTATAAGTATACATGAGAGATGGTATAAGGTAGGCAAGAGATGAGTTTGACAATCGTAGGTAGACTAGGGCTTAACATTAATTAAAAAGTTTCAAGTAAAATAAAATGTGAGTGAGATGAGTTAATCATCATAGGCAAGCTAGGGCCCTGAGAGAAATTTAATTGTAGGTAGGCGACTGACTACTGTTCCTGCAACATTTTACTATTTTTCTGCTTTGTGTTTGTTTTTGCTTCACAGCAACACACCAACAAAACATACTACATTTTTTTTTCGTCGTCGCCTTAAATTTTACCTTGTTGGACAATCTTTTTAATAATGTCTATTTATTTATTTGTTTGTTAAATGTTGACTGGTTTCTAGTTTTTTATTTCGGTTACATAATTTTTGAATATTTCCTAATTTACTTTGTATATATGTAAGGGGGCATTCTTTGATCACTACTCCTAGCATTTTTAATCACTTTTTCAGTCAAAAACGCATACAATAGTATACTACAGTAACAGTAAAACTATAATTAAACATTAAATAAACAAATGTGACACACACATACACACACACACACACACATACACACACACACACGCATATACATACATACACATACATAGATACAGACAGATATACCTACCTATACCTTCTATGCGTGAAAGTATTTTTTTGCAAACGATAACGTCCATCACTTCAAATTTACTCAAACTTCAAACTAAAGGTATCTTAGTCTCTCTCCCTCTTTCTCTCTCTCTCTCTCTCCCTTCTTTCTCTCTGTGTGCATGTGTGAGTGTGTGTGTGTGTGTGTGTGTGTAGTGCGTGTGTGTTCGTCATTGTAATGAAATAACCAGTCTATATTTCTATATTTGGTTACACCTATGGCATATTATATTAATTAATTCTTGAGTTATCATGCTGGCGTAGCTTCCTATGCGGTAATTTTCAACGTTACCCATGCCTGTATTGTATCATTCTATCTTCCCATCAAATAACATCATTACAGATGATTTTATTTTAGATGAAATTTCAAATATCTGATGTACTTTTGAAAGAATTTTTTTCCAAAGTAAATTTAATTAATCCGTTAATCAATTAATTAATTATTTAATTAATATATCAATAAGAAACTAATTAAAAAGCCATGTGAGGTCTCCGGAAAATTTGAACAGGGGTAACTTCTTTTAAATACAACATTGGTACCTACCCCACCCATGTGTTGGTTTAATTAAATGACATTATAATGAAAAATTTCGTATTGTATAATTGTGACACACACACCACACATCCCCACACACACACACACACACACACACACACACACACACACACACACACACACACACACACACTCACACTCACACATACATACATACACACATACATACACACACAACTAGCACATTTATTAAAATATTAATTCACGTTAATTTTTTGAAAAAGTAACGATCATTAAAATAATAAATACGAAATGCATATAGCTAATAAAATGATTGCTATACAAACAAAACGGTGTCTTAATTTGAAACATTTTAGATTTCTAAAACTTTTTAATAAAAATTGTCTAACTATGACGCAATACCTGAAGATGCAGAAATAAGTAAATTTATTTCAATTTTGTATACGATTAAGCAAGTTTATTTCAACGCATTAAGAGGTCGCCAGCATTGGATAAATAAAATTATTGCCTCTACCAAATTGCCTGTTGTATATTTGCGTCTCAGGAATGTGTGTGTGTGTGTGTGTGTGTGTGTGTGTGTGGTGTGTCTTTCTTCTTTCTTTCTGTAAATTAAATTCAATTCAATTGCGTGAGCGATAAGACTTATTACCCTTATTACCAGAAAACCAAAAACCCAATTTGTCATTTAATAATGAAAGAAATTCTTTTCATTTTACTCTTTTCCTGTTCGTATCAGCAGCAGCCGAACGACGACTCGCACTAAGAGGAAATGAACTCCATCTTATTGTCGGCCATTTTTAATTATTGAGATCACGTCATCATCGTCGTCATTCATTTTCTCTACTTCATTCTTTAGTTATCCTTCTTTATATTTTGGATTTTGATGACGGCATTTATATTCATTCTCTCTATTACTCTCTCTCTCTCTCTCTCTCTCTCTCTCTTTCTCACGAACACTCTCTCTAGGGCAATAGAAATTTTCATCTCTCTCTCTCTTTCTCTCTCTCTCCCTGTGTTTTCTGTATCTCTTTTACATTACTGTTTTTCTTTCTTTCTCTCTTCCCCTCCCTTTCTCTTTCTCTCATTCATACACATCCTCTCTCTCTCTCTCTCTCTTTTTAGTCTATCTTCTTTTTGTGCTGAATGTTTAGTATTTAAGAAGTGCAAACCCCGTTGTGAGAGGTGAGAGGCACAACGTCTACTTATCATCAACCAACATCAACCAGTGAGGACAGTTGCGACTTTTTGAATTGCACAAACCTGTGAAACTACATCAAATGCATGCCTACTAGATTGTCGAGAGCTACAAAAATTATGAAGATACCGACACGAATGACATTCTTTTTTAATTTAAATAAAATCTTAATTTAAGGGAGTCGCAAAAAACTGTGTCAAAAATTTTATGGCGATATAAAAATATGGGGACGCACTGAAATGACAAAAATATGGCTGACATTAATGACATTAAAAACGACGTTGAGGATAACAACAACAGCAACACAAACAACAAATCAAACACCATCTCCAACAACGACGACACCAACAACAACTCAAACAATCCCACAAACAACAACAACACAAAGGACAGCGCAAACAACAACACAAACAATCCCACAAACAACAACACAAGCAACAACAACACAAAGGACAGCGCAAACAACAACACAAACAACAACATCAACAACAACATCAACATAAACATGAATCAAGCGTGGATGGGCAGCCGCAGCAAATCAACAACCTCAATGACCTCGACCCAAATGGAAATTTTTACCCAAGTCAAGAGTCTAGCCAATCAGGATGCAAGAAATAGAATACAAATGTTAGCAAAAATGCTATTGGTTGTCGCTTTACCAATCCTTGCTCTTATAATTATGACGTCAATAAGTTTGAATGAAGCGGTTGTCAGTCAGACTCAATCATTGAAGGCCGTTGATGAAATCAAAGAACTTGAAAAGGTTTTTTTGGAAAATTTTTTTTACCGAGATATATGAAATAAATAAATTATAAATATTATTAATGAATTAAAATAATCAGTTTAATTTTTTCACACAATTCTACTAATTTGTATGAAGTAAAATAAAATATTTAGGCATACAATATAATAATTATTATATGTACCTATTTCACCGGCTTAACTTAAGGTTTGATAGGCAAATAGTTAAGTAATTTAAAATTAACCAGGTAACTTAACCAGGTAACTAACCAATCATTTATTCAATCGATCAATATCAATCAATCACTTTATCAATTAATATCAATCAATAAACCAACCAACCATCCGACCAACCAATCAACTACCCAACCTACCAACTAACCTACCAACCAACCAACCAATCATCCGACCAACCAACCAACCAATCAACCAACCAACCAACCAACCAATCAACCAATCAACCAATCAACCAACCAACCAACCAATCAACCAACCAATCAACCAACCAACCAAAATAGCTGCACAAACTTGTTTTCTACTTACAACAAGAGCGTGGAACGTCAGTGTGGTACCTAACAAATATAGACACAGACACCTTGGATCGTCTACTGAAAATTTACAAAAAAGGAGATGACGCACTGGAATCGTATCTAGATAATTCTTTCCTGAAACTAACTGTCGCCAATCAACCGATCCCTAGTAAAAAATCGCTATTCGAGTTGATACATTCTTATCGTAATAATACGCTGATGATGGCTCTTAAGTACAAAAACTACTCGTGTAGTTTAGTCTCAGCTTACGTGCGTAACAACCTTACGGATGTAGATGGGTGTGTTGTAGAGAATAGCAGAAACAAAACTTACAACGACAGCGATGACTACCGATATTACAAGGATGGTGCAGACGATTTGCCTAACACAGGCATTAATATTAATATGTCAGCTGATACTAAAACTATGAATATTTATGAGGATGGAGGGAAAATTTTAATGAAAAATACAAGTTTAAATAAAAACAAAGTGGATTTAACTCAAGAAAGTGAATTATTCGCAAAATTGTTCCTAAATAAATTAGGTCCTGAAAATGTCGACACCTCTATAAGGTTAAACACTTCTGACACTAACATTGTTGTCACTACTACTGTCGTGACATCAACAACGACGACATTAACAATATTAATGTCATCAAATAATTTAACAGCAACAAATTTGGAAGCTCCTGTTGAAACAGATGTAACAGCGCCAACAACAAAATCATTGACAGATGCAACAACAGCAGGACACCCTTCCACGTCAGCCAGCCAAATAAACTCCACAAAGACGTCCAACGCAACAGAAAAAACACTAAACAAAAACACGGCAAGCGCTGAAACTCCAGCCAGCAGAAACATTCTTGACGAGCAAACCATCGAATCGTACGCACAGTTCGACCGCTACACGGTCCTCATCATGTCTCTCATCAACTACACGTCCACGAGAACGGAGCAGCTTTCGAAAACACTGAACAACGTAGCTAAATACACAACAGCCTTCACCTCACTGCTTCTCGGATCTGATTTCGTCGGCCAGATGAGAGCCTTGGGGACTAAATTTTTTCAATCCTGCCATCTTTCGACGGAGTTTTTTGTGAGGTTCTGGATAGCGAACGGATCAGCTGGCCAGGGTTTACACGAGGTTTTTTTAAATCAGCCTGACAGTAAGGTGTGGTTTGATGAAAAGTTCGTTGGCAAACCATTGCAGGCAAACTTAACAAGGCGATTCGACGATATGTTACGTTGGTCTGACCCGTAAGCCGGCTATTCATAATTTTATTTCTAATCTAATTAAAAATCTTCCTCAGTTCAATCAAATTTTAATCAAATTATCAATTTTTCAAAATTAATTCAAATTTTTTAATCGTATAATTAAATTGGAGGAACCGAAATAATAACAGAATAACGGAAGACCTCAGCAGCAGCAGTTTTCTCACTCATTCGTTTACACTTCCCAGAAGCAACTGTACATATGATGAATCTAATAAGTGTACTAATGGTGAAGATGGTGGCGGTGATGGTGAATTTATAACGAGAGAAAAGTTATGTTTAGATGCCCCTAGTCAAGACAGGTTTTGTAAAAAAAAAAATTGTGTGTTTTCATATCCTAAATTGATGTGCCGTCATATGTTTTTGACAATTTGATTTTGAATATGTTTTTGCAAACTACTTAAGTTTTGTACCTAATTTATTTTTGAAGTTTTAATGACATAAAATTGTCAACTTTACCATTACAATCATGGTAGGCTGCCTATCTGCTTCGTGTAACTATTTGTTTTAGCTTATTCCTACAAGAAGCATTTCTAATGAATGATAAACACGCTCCATGTACTTCGCGTCTATTTGAAATAATCTTCACTTAACAATGTTAACTTAATTTAATTTATTTCTCAAGTGCTATATGTAACTTTTGAAAATTAAAAAACCGAAGAGAAAATAAACATTTTAAGACATAAAGACTAAAAAAATATTTTGATCCATTAAAGTAGAGTTTATCTCGATTTGCCATTCTTTTTAAAAATTATTTTAAGAAAATAAACGACATGTTTAACAAATTCAACGCATCCACTTTGACATTAGATGTGAAAATCTGCTTTTTCTTTAATGAAAAAAAAATATATATGAAAAGATTAAGCACGCGAATTTTAAGAAGATTAAACACGCGAAAAACAATTAAAAATCAATGCTGTTTTGATACATACTTCATTATTAAATGTATCTATCATACCATCAGAGTTATCTATAATATCATCAAAAATATCTGTATCTATCATACCATCAAAGTTGTCTGTAATATCATCAAAGATATCTTTATCTATCATACCATCAGAGTTATCTATAATACCATCAAAGATATCTTTATCTATCATACCATCAAAGTTATCTGTAATATCATCAAAGATATCTAATCTATCATACCATCAATGATATTTTTATCTGTCATATCATCAAAGATATCTCTGTTTATCATATCTCCAAAGGTATCTATCAAGTCTCACATGGTTCGAGGACATAACTAGCTTACTATCAATCATCACAGACATAAGAGAGAGACTAACAAGAGAAATGAAGGACCAGCTGAACCAGTGAGCAGTGTTAACGAAATAAAATTGGCTTTTAAATATCGAAAATTTATCATAATCATTCAGGGCCGGATTTTAGGTGGGGCAGAGAGGCCTCCACCCCACCTCAATATTATAATACAAAAATAACTAAACAAAGACCCGTCAAAAACTTACGTTTTATTTCTCAAAACTTTTTTCCATTTTAGCTGGCAAAATATGTGAAAAACATTGGTTTTAACGGAAAATAGTATAAGCTATAAAACAAATGTCCCAAACAAAAAATTGTCAAGAGTCTCTAATCCGTTGTTGCCCGATGGCCTCTATTTACCTCCTTAAAGCGGCCCTGGTTTCATTCTAGGCACCGCCATGTTACACATTTTTTATTGGAATTTCAAACACTGGAAACTCAAAATCGAATTGCAGATACGCCAGTGGGGTTTTCTTCCAGATGTGGGTAAAAATAATTGTAGTAGTGACAACCTCTGTGGCAAGTTTCCTTCTGGTCTTATGGTTCTCGCATAGGTTCACCTTTTTTTGGAAAAATTTAATGAATTTTTTTCTGAGTTATAAAAAATGAATGAATGAACGAATGAATAAATGAACGAACGAACGAATGAATGAAAAAATGAACGGATGAACGAAGGAACAAATGGAAGAATAAATTATTATATAAATAATAATAATTTACAGGAAATTTGTATTTAATCAAACGGATAAGTCGTCAAAAATAATAAACACAAGACAAAATAATCACAATAACATAACTATATATTAAATATATAATAATACTATAATGATAATATATAAAAATTATAGTATAATAATTATCGATAAAAACACCTCTAGGTTGAACGCCCTGCTGAACAAGATGGCCAGGTTCGCCTCGATGATTCAAACAAAATCAAAAGAACTGGCTCACGAGAAGAAGAGAGCCAACAACCTACTATCACAAATGCTGCCCGCCGAGGTGAGGAAATTACTTCAAAATTTCAAATTGTGAAAGTAATTTTAAAAATTATTCATACTTAATAATTATTCCCCACACACCAGGTGGCAGACCAGCTGATGAACAACCAGACGGTCGACGCCAAGCATTTCGAATCGGTCACCATATATTTTAGCGACATAGTGGGGTTTACGGAGATATCGGCAGCCAGCCAACCGATTGAGATCGTTTACATGTTGAATTCACTCTATAGGTTTGCGAATTTGTTAATCAAAATTGTTAAAATATGAATTGAAATTGAGGAAAAATGTTTTGTTATAGTTAGGTATATAGGCTAACAAAGTCATTAATATAAGCGGTTGAATTAGAGTTGAAAGTGGAAAAAAGATTAATGCGCATCTAACAAAAATCTTTTCTATGATTATTTTAATCTACCCGTTTGGAAAGTCATCGAAACATGAATTAAAATTTGTAAAAATAATTATATTACACCCATAAAAAACAATCTTTTTTGTGAATATTCAATTAATTTTATCAATTCCTCAGCGGATTCGATGGACTAATAGAAAAATTTGACGTGTATAAAGTCGAGACAATAGGAGATGCGTACATGGTGGCGGGCGGAGTACCCAAACCAACAACAGATCACATGGTACAGATAAGTGACCTTGCCCTTTGCCTGATGACCTTCACCACCAATTACGTCATACCCCACATGCCAGAGAGGAGACTGCTGCTGAGAATTGGACTGCATACCGGTTAGTAGTTGCGGTCGTTGTGGTCGTTGTGGCTGTGGTGGTAGTTGTGGTGACGCTTGTGATGATGCTGGTTTTCGAGTTAATCGTTTGTAGAAGCAACCAAAATTTTATTCTTATCTATAAAAGTTTAAATTTCGAATTAAGTAACTTATCTTAAAATAATTTTACTACGAATATTTAAAAAAATATAAAAAAAAACAATTTCAGGATCTGTCGTGGCTGGAGTTGTAGGTTTAAAAATGCCAAGGTACTGCCTGTTCGGCGATACTGTTAACACGGCAAGTAGAATGGAATCATCGGGACAACGTCCGTTACATACAATTTTTTTTCTTCAATATTCTTTTTCACAGAATTCTTAAAAAAACACACGCGCACGCACGCACGCGCACGCACACACACGCGCATTTTGCGTGCAACAAGTGTGGGTTTATATAAATTCGAACCAACAGAAGATCTTTTGATCTCGATACGTAATTTTTCAAATTACATGTTATTTATTTGAGAACCATTTTTTAAACATTCCAGTTTAATTTTATCTTCAGGTAAGTGTATCAAGACTGTATCAATCCATGAATAGATACATATATACTATATGTATAACGTTTGATATCATTTTTACAAAAAAGCAAAAAGGATACACATAAGTAAGAGTACAAAAGAGGCACTAGATCCCTACGATAAGTTCCTTACTGAGCCAAGGGAAGCCACAGCCATCAAGGTTTGATTGTTCAGTTCTCTGATGGGATTAGATAACATTTTGCAATACTATTATTGAGTAAGGTTTAATATTGTCAAGTAATTTTTCATGATTTTTTTTCGTTATAGCGATAAATATTTATTTTGTTTAAATATTTCTTCAATAAATATCCTACTTGTTTGCTAAGAGTTCACAAATTTATGTCATTCAAAAGCGAACAAAACAAATCAATCATACTTTTAATTGCATCATGACTAAACATTCAAACATTCAGACAACAACAACACATTTACTTAACACGCATTTTCAAACAATCCTATACACACACGCACGTACACAAAACACGCACACACACATCTTGCCTTAATCCGTGATTCATAACACATAATATATCACATATAATAATATACCAAAGATATAATATTATAAAATAAATTAAAAATAAACTAGGGCAAGGGAGTTATGCAAACCTATTGGCTTCTAGGCATCAAAAACGCACCGACAGCCGCTGGAGGGACCACATCCGGAAAAGTTTTAATGTTTGAAAATTAGTAACTATAATTAATAATAAAAATATAATAATAATTATCATCATTTATATTATTTGTAAATATTTTTATCTATATATTTTATACGATATTTTTCGTGTTTTTAGTTGTGTGTATCATGTATATCATTGTATCTTCAATGAAAATTTTCGGCGATTGACGATAGATCATGGATACATATATCCAGGGATAGCATGCATCTATGGATAGCATGTATCTATGGATAGCGTATATCTATGGATAGCATGTATCCATAGATACTTGGATAGCCTACATGACGTAGATGGAAGGATTTTTGATTGACTTTGGAAAAAAAAAATTAACCCACTGCGTTCTACGTAGAGATTATTATTGATAATAATAAAAATAATAGTAAAGCAGATGTAATAATAATAATAATAATTATAATAATGATAACAATAATAATGATAATAATAATAATGATAATAATAATAATTTATAGTCATATGTTCTCATTTTTTATATGTTTTAATTTGCGTCACAGACATAAATTTCTCTCCTTTGTTGTTGTTGCTGCTGATGTTGTTAAAAATATGCGAAGGATAACTTTCTCAGTCTTTAAACGTGTACAAATTAATTAATCCAGTTGAATCTACGTAATAAATTTAAAAAGCGTACAGATTACGTCACAGCTACATCACATTAATACACCACATCCCATTACAACATCACGTTACAGAAATCAATGTGGAATTACGAGAACAAAAAAATTGGTAAAACATCGCCCGCAACAAAAATACTGTTACATCCAAATTACGTTACAATACTTTGCTTACGACGGTATGTTTACAATTTTTACCTGGCACAATGCCAACTTTATCATTGCTTTACCCATCGTCATAATTTATGATCAACCTTGATTCATTAGCATACTAGAGAGAGAGAGAGAGAGAGAGAGAGAGAGAGAGAGAGAGAGAGAGAGAGATGGGAGAAATAGAGAGAAAGAGAAAAGGAGAGAGAGAGAGAGGAAAAACGTATAAATGAAGCGCTATAGTTTAGCTGTGAGGTTATTCTATGTATGTATGTATCGGTGTTTGTATGCATATGTTCATAAGGATGCATGCTATGTGTGTGTGTTTGTTTGTGTGTGTGTGTGCGTGTGCGCGCGACTGTTTACGATGTAAGTGTGACTGATATAAGTAGTGAAGTTATTTTGCATGATAAAAATTATCAGTTGGTAAAATTTATGGAGAGGGCATTGAGAATATAAATCACAGATTGAGTTTGAACGAGCTTGAATTTTAACAAAAAAAAAAATAATACATGATATATTCGTGAGAATAACCATTTCACGTAATCACACAACAATTAATATTATTTAAATAAAATTTATTGTTTTGTTCAAATTTTTAAAAATATTTTTATTTAATATTCTTTTTTTTCTATAAAAATACTCATCTTTATCGCTGCAGTCGTCATCACTCTATAGATACATGACACATAGAGATGAATGTAACAAGTATAAACATTCGGTACGTGTATGTGTGTGTATGTATATATATATGTGTGTGTGTGTATGTGCGTGTGTGTGTGTGTATGTGCGTGTGTGTGTGTAATAAAAAACACTATACTAATTATTATTATTATTATTATAGTAATGCGTGGTATTACATTTTGACGTTTCTAGCATTATCACATCACCGCGTCGAAAAAAAATGTAAACAATCGTTTAAAAATTTCAAATGCAAATATAAACATGAACGTCACGTGATATATATATATGACTACATGTTTTTATATACTATAATGATTCATGTTATAGTTATTTCAACGGCGAATCTCGAGTAAAACATCGTCAATATACGGAATATATGGAAAAAAATGAATTGATTTAAGTGTAAATGTTTTTAAGTTTTTTTCTATTAATAAAAATAAATATTACTAAATTTATTAATACGCTTATTACATCTTAATTGACGTATATGTATTATGAAAGTTTTGTATTATTTCATACCAGTTTATCAAAGAAAAATAACATCATTTTATAATACATCTTCAGCTTCATATACAATGTATGGGGTCTCAAAACACACATACGTACTGGATAAACATACAAGATCTTGAGATGTTTCAATATATATTCACTATAACATATTCATATAGATGCATACATGTGTATAAAGATGCTTATGTATGTGTATATATTTACATACAAATACATCCATGTGTATATATTTACATACAAATACATCCATGTGTATATATTTACATACAAATACATCCATGTGTATATATTTACATACAAATACATCCATGTGTATATATATTTACATACAAATACATCTATGTGTAGTTACATAACAGAGTTTACATGCTCATAAACGTGTATGTATTTACACACACGTGTATATGTATGCCAATAGAATGTACATTTATGTATTATATAACACATATAAGCATTTATATAACGAATATATTCCTTGTATAGCGCATATAGGCATTTATATAGCGCCTATATGCATTTGTATAGCGCATATTATTATTATAATGCAGCAAAGAATTTGTAATAGTAGTATAGCGCGCTGTAGTTAGCTATCTTCGTGTATTTTTAGACTGTTTTTATTTTAATTGTTGTTGGGATTTTTATCTTGTGTACGAAAGTTTTTTCGAGATTGCAAATTTTCAGTTAGTGGATTTAATTTTATTTCGTTTTATACGCAAAAATGTTTGTATATTTTATTCAAATGTCATCGAAATCGCGTTATTTTGTCTCTCGTTTGGATGGATTTTATGTTTTTTTCTTGTGGTGTTGTGGTTCTCACTCAAGCAACATGATGAACTGCTCCACTACTTCTACTACTACGTTGGTTTCATTTAAATTTCAGTGTTTTTCATTCTTTAATGGCCTGCAATTCAGATATGGATGTTAATTCAGGTTCAATTTATCGATCTGTGGTCGTTGGATTCTTATTTTTAGGTTGATTTGGATTGAAAGTTTCAAAAATTAGGTGGAGCTGCTGGTAAAACTTTGTTTTTTAGCCCCAGTTTATTATTTGTGACAATAATTTCTAACTGGACATGGTTTTTTTTTTACATAAAATAACTTTACATTCATTGAAATGAGGGATTACATAATTATAATTAAGTCCATTTAGTTGTTTCAATTGAAAAGTTACAATGAATCACTTTAGTAGTCAGTTCTGACATTTTGGATTTTTAATTTAATTTATTTGTTTATTTGTTTTGTTACAAGTCAATTCTAATATGGATGAACCTATATAGTTATATATAGATATATATATATAATATATATATCTAACTTATATATATATATATATATCTTATATATATATATAACTTATATATATATCTAATCCTAATGCTGCTAATCAAATGTTGTAATTTTTGAATTTTGTTCTAGTAAGAAATTAAATTTTATTTATTTTTTGTAGATCTGGGTTAGATTTTGGCTTTGTTGGAGTTTTCTTTCCATTTTGGATTCATGTTATGTTAGCATTGTGTTTATTGTTCAGAGTGGAACTTTTAGTACCATTTATTAGTTAAGTTATTTCATTGTAAAATGAATAGATTTTTTTAATTGTCGTCTATTTTTTTTTATTAACCACATATTGCCATTTTATATTTAAAAATATTTAAGTATAGTAACGATAAAATATGCATGCATCATTAAAAACATTATTATGTCAACATTATTAAATATAATTGTACAGCTTGTTAGTAAACCCTTAGTTTAGTGTATATATATATATATATATATATATATATATATATGCACACACACACAACAATACACACACACACACATAAACACATATTCATTGTTTACAACTTAGCATAACATTGATAGATGACATTTATTTGATCATCATCATCATGGAGAACATCTGTATGTGTGCGTATGTGTGTGCATGTGTGTGTATGTTTGACACTGTGGCATGATTTTATTATTCCAATTAAAACATCCATCCCACACTGTCATGTTTATTGATGATACATCATAAAATGCTAGTAAAATAACAACTGTTTTATAATTTGTGTGTGTGTGTGTGTTTGTTTGAGTGTGTGTGTGTGTATGTGCGTGTTTGTTTGAGTGTGTATGTTTTTGTGTGTGAATTTTTGCTTGTACCAACAACCTTACCTTATAAAACCATTTTTAAGTTTAACTGTTCTCTTTATTTTTTTTCATTGTCACTCTCCTTCCTTTCCTCAAGTTACTGTTCATATTTTAAATTTATCTCCAACCAGATGTCTTAAACGCCAGGTAAAAAAACTTCAATATGCTATACCTGCTTGGTTTTTTACCTGTGTAATTTTGGTTTTTTTTTGTTCCATTTCTATGTTTTTTGTTTTCCTATGTAATTTGATGAGTTAAACAAACAAACTGAAAGTGAACAGGGCATAATTTGTTTTTTTTATTAGGTGTATTGTATATATGTATATATATATATATATATATATATATATATATATATATATATATATATATATATATATATACAGTCTTGTTTGATGGAACATCTGAAAGCAAGGAATAGAAAAAGTCCATCCTTAAATAAACTTTGCTGTTTTCCATTGATTATAAACTTTTGATTCTTTGTTCTGTTAATTAATGTTTCTATGTTAATATTTATGAACATTAAAAATATGTAGGCACGCACACACACACACACACACACACAAACACACAAGAAAACACACATACACGCATATACACTATCTGTTTATCATCCATTCATCCATCTATCCGTTTTTTTTTTATTTAAAAACGTGTGATTATTTGGAAATGGTTATATCATGCAATGTAACATTGTGCAATTTCTTGTAAGGTAACAATGAGGTGAATCCAGGAATGACATATAATATATGCATTGGAAGAGAGAGAAGAGAGAGAGAGAGAGAGAGAGAGAATTAAGAAGTACTGGAGTACTGAAGAGAGAATTATTTTTGTCTTTTCATGCAATCTTCATCGTCAAATAAGCTCAAAGGCCCTTCATAGAAATCTTCATAAAAAAAATTTTATTT